ATAACTTTCAGAATGCCTATTAGACCACGCTTCTTCATCCCGCCTTGAAAAACTGTACAAAAGCTTGTTGAATCCTTTGTTCTGGGTCCTGGCATTCTGAGGGCCGGGGCCCCTTTTGTTGAAGCGCTTCAATAAAACCTGCACCTTGTGTCTGGTGTTCTTCATCCCCTGAGTTGGGGACAACACAAGCTTGCCTGAGCCTTAGGCCAAGTTTGGAGCCGAGATAGATCCCTTTGCCCAGTTGGTCATCCCCACCAGGTTCTTCACCTGGTTACCTTGTTGGGATGGCCAGTCTTGAAGTAGGAGCGAAGAAGGAAAACAACTATTCCCAAACCAGGATATCTAAGGACGGTTTTAGGCTGCCGTAGCAGTGGACTAGGAAGGAAATGGAGTTCATTCATGAGGATGGATCCCTCCAGGCATCTTCAGGTCACAGCAGGCAAGAAGTCAGTTTCATACATTGATTTCTCAGGCATCCACATTTCAGGTTTATATGGAAGGCTGAAAAAACATGGCATTGCTTTAATGAAGAGTGGGGAGGGGGCTGTGTTGGTGCTGTGCAAGCTCCAAGCATCGTCTCTGCACCATTTTCGAAGCAGGCAGGGTCCTATTTTACTCCTTGTTGTTTTTCTCCAAAGCTGTTCCTGTTTGAATCCTTGATGGCCCAAATATTCAAGGTAGGTCCAAGCCATTGCCAAGAATGTCCACAGAGTTGATTTAATTAAAATCACGTGGCTGCTGCAACAATGCGATCAAATCTTTCCTTGGGTTTTTATTTTTAATCTGTGTGTATCACAGCTACTCCCACTAATTGTCATGATTGGGAAAATATATTCCTGATGATGCAATGTAAACATAGGACTTGTCCTTTCTGCAGCAACAGCAAATTGTCGGCATGTATTTCGCTGATCATCCACCTACACAAGAACTTTCTCACAAGCCACCCTAGGAAACCCGTCGTTTTATTTCTTTTGCCTAAATGAAGAACCTTGCATATTTCTCTATTAATCAATCTATCAGAATAGAGCTGGAAGGGACCTTGGAGGTCCTCTAGTCCAACCCCCTGCTCAAACGGGACACCTGTGCATTAGTTACCAAGATCACTTTCATTTTTTTATTTCTATCTTCTGGGGAAATTAGTTCTCTACTCTACAAAGACAATAAAATTGCTTTTAGTAGTAATAGTAGTAAAGTTGGAAGGGACCTTGGAGGTCATCTAGTCCAACCCCCTGCTCGGGCAGGAAACCCTACACCATTTCGGACAAATGGCTGTCCAGTCTCTTCTTAAAAACTTCCAGTGTTGGAGCATTTACTGCTTCTGGAGGCAAGCTGTTCCACTGATTAATTGTTCTCACTGTCAGGAAGTTTTCATTTTGTTCTTATAATATTTGTCTGAAATGGTATAGGCAGGGTATCCTGCCTGAGCAGGGGGTTGGACTAGATGACCTCCAAGATCCCTTCCAACATCATCATCATCATCATCATCATCATCATCATCATCATCATCATCATCATCATCATCATCATCATTATTATTATTATTATCTTCTTGCCTCGTTGCAATCATTGTCGCTGTTGCTCCACAACCTTCCCACTTTTCTCAGCTGGTTATTATGGATCATTGCACAGTCAGCCAGATGTTCAGGCTGGATTTGGCATTTTGTCTACCTATCGAGTCCTTACCCAGGACCTGGGATAGGCAGATGTGGATGTTTGATGGTATTACAGATATCGTCGCAGGATGGAAGCAGTTCCTAATAAGGCCGCCTTTTGCAATTGACTAATAGCGAATTTGTCAATGCCAATGGTGTTCAAGTGGTGCTCCAGTTGTTTTGGGATTGCACCCAAGGAGCCTATGACTATTGGTACTACCCTTGCTTGCTTTTGCCACAGTCTTTCTATTTCTATTTGTAGGTCTTTGTATTTTGTTATCTTCTCCAGTTCTTTCTCTTCTATTCTGCTGTCTCCAGGCACTGCCACGTCCACTATCCAGACTTTTTTGTCTTTCTTATCGACAATTGTTAAGTCTGGGGTGTTATGTTGCAGGTGCTTGTCTGTTTGAATTCTGAAGTCCCAGAGCAGTTTAATTTTATCATTTTCTATGACTTTCTCTATTTTATGATCCCACCAGTTTTTGCTTACAGGCAAATGATATTTTTTGCAGATCTTCCAATGCACCATTGTTGCTACTTTGTCATGCCGCTGCTTGTAGTCAGTCTGTGCAATCTTCTTCTTCTTCTTCTTCTTTCTTCTTCTCTTCTTCTTCTTCTTCTTCTTCTTCTTCTTCTTCTTCTTCTTCTTCTTCTTCTTCTTCTTCTTCTTCTTCTTCTTCTTCTTCTTCTTCTTCTTCTTCTTCTTCTTCTTCTTATTATTATTATTATTATTATTATTATTATTATGCCGCTGCTGCGATTTTTAATTCTCAGCCAACTGAATATTGGAATGTCACCCAGTAAACATAAAACAGAAATGGAAAGAGAAGGAAGATCTGCTTTTTTTTTTTTTTTTGGTTTTTTGGATTGTTTTCCTCAACCTGTCGAATCCTTTTCTTAAGAAACTCACCTCCTCGTACCATCGTTTTCATGCTTGCGATATTATATATACTACAATATGCAGGCAGTCCTCGACTTACGACCACTGTTGAGGCCAAAAGCAAGACATTTGTTAAGTGAGCTTTGCCCCATTTTACAACCTTTCTTGCTACAGTTGTTAAGCGAATCACTGCAATCCCTTAGTCACACCATTGTTAAGTGAGTCTGGCTTCCCCATTGACTTTGCTCGTCGGAAGGTCGCCAAATGGGATCACGTGACCTCGGGATATTGCGACCGTCCTAAATATGAGTCAGTTGCCAAGCCTCTGAATTTTGATCACGTGATCACGGGGGATGCTGCAACGGTCGTAAGTGTGAAACACGGTCGTAAGTGTGAAACGGTCATAATTCTTCAGTACCGTTATAACTTTGAACAGTCACTAAATGAACTGTCGTAAGTCAAGGACTACCAGTATACTAATACTGGGAATTATAGGTTTTTGTTGATTTTATTAATGTTCTTTATGCTTAACCGATTTATTCCTGTTTGTTTGTTGTTCAGTCGCTAAGTCGTGTCTGATTCTTCGCAACTGCGTGGGCCACTGCACGCCAGTCCCTCTTGTCCTCCATTGTCTCCCGGAGTTCCCCCAAATCCATGTTCTTTGTGTCGATGACACTATCTACCCATCTTGTCCTCTTGCCATTCTCCTTTTTCCTTAAATCTTAAATCAGGGTCTTTTTCAAGGAGTGCTCGCTTCTCATTAGGTGGCCAAAGTATTTGAGCCTCAAAGATGCTTTTTTACCAGGCAACTGGACTTTCTTGCTTTTTCTTTGAAGACGTTTCGCTTCTCATCCAAGAAGCTTCTTTAGCTCTGACTGGATGGTGAGGAATGGAAGGATTTATACTTCTTGCAGACAGCTGGTCATTTGCCTTCTGTTAGAGCAGTGGTTCTCAACCTTTTTAATGCCACGACCCCCAACCGGTCGTAGGTCGAGGACTACCCAACTGGTCGTAAGTCGAGGACTTTCCCTGCCCGGGAGCGCCGCACATGCGTGGTGCCGCCCCCTGCGCCAGCCAAGGCGTAGCTGGCAAGTGGCAGAGACAGAGCAGGCTGACCACCGGCTGGGCCACCAGCTGGCCCAGCCCAAGGGAGGTAAGGCACCCGCTGGGCCCCATGCATGCCAGCAACCCTCCCTGCGCCCACCGGCCTCCCACCTCCCACCCTTGACCCTCTTTTACTTATATTTTTAGTAGTTGCTCAGCAGGGAGGGGTGGAAACTTCCAGACAGCTCGCCTTCGCTGCAGACAACTTGCAGCACTGTTTGCAGACTGGGACTTTTGGCGGGCTCAGCAGGGCAGAGACAGCCTGGACAATTCCTATTGGCTTTTGAAAACCAATAGAATTAGACTCTATTCAAGAGAGTCTATTCTATTGGCTTTCAAAAGCCAATAGAATAAAAGAGAGTAGCACAGCTAAGGAAAAGGGGGAAAAATGGCAGTCTGCATTGTTTGGCGACCCCCGTGAAATGGTCATTCGACCCCAAATGGGGTCCCGACCCACAGGTTGAGAACCACTGCCTTAGAGAGTCGTTGAGGCCACAGTGAGGGTGGACTTCCTTTAGGATCGAGTGATTGGATCGCCTTGCAGTCCAAGGGACTCTGAAGAGTCTCCTCGAACACCACAGTTCAAAAGCCTCAATTCTTCATCGCTCAGCCTTCCTTATGGAACTTATTAGCTCTTCATTTTCAATGCCACCAAGTTTTCTTTGTAGTTCCAAAATTAAATGTATGAGTTTCTTCCTGATCAAAAGATGGGATGACATATTTAGAAACGAAGGAAGGAAGGCGTGGAAGATGCCCCTTTGGAAGTAGATACAGGTGGTCCTCGACTCACCGCTGTTCGTTTAGTGACCGTTCAAAGTTACAGTGGCACTGAACGTTTTTCACATGTATGACTATTGCAGCATCCCCCACAGTCACGTGATCAAACATGCAGAGGCTTGGCAACTGACTCATATTTATGACGGTTGCAGTGTCCCAGGGTTATGTGATCTCCTTTTGCAACCTTCTGTCAAGTCAAGTCAGTGGGGAATCCTGATTCACTTAACAACCGTGTTAGTAACTTAACAACTGCAGTGATTCACTTAACGAATTGTGGCAAGAAAGGTCGTAAATTGGGGCAAAACTCACTTAGGCACCATTGTGGTCGAAAGTCAAGGATTACCTGAACAGCCAAGCAGCTTAATCTTTCACATAAGCCACACCAGTGTAAGATAAGTCACCCAGACAGACACATCATTTCTTCCATTAACCTTGTAACATAATTTTCTAAATGTGATCCAAAGATGAAAATGCCCTGAAGCAGAGAGGTGGAACTGGAAGCAGACTTGCCAAAGAAGGAGGGCAGATTGAAATCCTCTGTGTAGGATGCCGCCCATGGGAACACACTCAGAAGAACAAAAGGGATTCTGCAAGCAAAGTCCCAGCACACTCCTTTGAGAAGCTGCACAGAAATGCTGGCGCTAAGCTTCATTGCCTTCTTGCTCTGCCTCCTGGTTGTCCAAATGGTGAGGCTGCAGTTTCGAAGAAGGCACTATCCACCAGGGCCGATGCCTCTGCCTTTCATTGGATGCTTATGGAACCCCAAATTTCTTCAACTAAACCGGGAACACTTGACTGAGGTATGAGTTGTCCATCCCTTTCATCAACTGATTGACTCGGAGCAAAGAGCAAATTATTGTTTGGAGAGATGCACAGATCATTTATTGCTAAGTGGCATTGTGGCTTTTGTGTGGCCAAAGAGGGGGGGGTGGTCAAATCAATTTCCTTTCTCGTAAGAGCTATTCTTTGTGCTCACTATGTCTTCTAAGAGTAATGGGGTTGAGAATGAATGAATGAATGAATAAAAACAAATATTTTCCCCAACTTGCCTCTCCATCCCTCCGTATTTTTAAGATCTTTCAACATCTGCCTGACTTATTTCTTCATTAAATGTACATGCTGCCCTTTTCACTATCAGTGTGACTCTGGGTGGCTCACAACAAGATAGAAGCAAGAATAGAAAAAGATGAAAAATATATTTTTTTTAAAGCTTAAAATCAACAAGGATTGGCTAAAACTAGGACCCAGTGCAGGTAATCCTCAACCTACCACCACAATTGACCCCAAAATTTCCGTTGTTAAGCGAGACAGTTGTTAAGTGAATTTTTGCCCTATTTTACAACCTCATTTCCATCGTTGTTAAGTGAATCACCGCAGTTGTTAAGGTAGTCACACGGTTGTTAAGTGAATCTGGCTTCCCTCTTGACTTTGCTTGTCAGAAGGTCGCAAAAGGGGAACACGTGACCCCGGGGCACTGCAACCGTCGTAAATAGGAGCAAGTTGCCAAGTGCCCGAATTTTGATCCCATCACCATGGGGATGCTGCAACGGTTGTTAAGTTGTCATGGCCCCATCGGAGCCCAGTTCGGAGGAAGAGGAGCTGTTGGAACTGGGAGCATCTGACGGGGATGGCAGGTCTCCCTTGGCCTGCTTTGGAGAGGCCGGGGCTGAGGACGATGCTGTCCCAGGCCCCTCAGGCATTGGGGGAGGTGGTTGACCAGATGGAAAGATGCCTGCCCTCACAGACACAGGGGAGGGTCGGCTGATGACAGGCAGGGGTCTCCTCCTCCTCCTCCTCCTCCTCCTCCTCCTCCTCCTCCTCCTCCCAGCACTGATGATATTACCTAGCTGGGCAATGAAATGTCTGCAAGGAAATTACCAAGCTCAGAGAGCACCAAGAACTTCACAGTCCTCCTCCTCCTGTTCCTCCTGCTCCTGCTCCTGCTCCTCCTGCTCCTCCTCCTCCTCCTTCCAGCACTGATGATGTTATCTAGTTGGGCAATGAAAGGTCTGCAAGAAAACCACCAAGCTCAGAGAGTACCAAGGATCCCACAGTTCTCCTCCTCCCATCACTGATGATGTTATCTAGTTGGGCAATGAAATGTCTACAAGGAACTTACCAAGCTGAGAGAGCACCAAGAACTCCACAGTCCTCCTCCTCCTCCTCCTCCTCTTCCTCCTCCTCCTCCCCCTCCCCCCCTCCTCCTCCTCCACCACCACCACCACCACTTCTTCCTCTTCCTAGTCACCAGTCTAGGCCAAGTATCATAAATACAAGCATCTTAAAGACCTCCTGTGATGGTTTCTCTAACAGATGTCGAAAATCTACGGGAATATCTTCACGTTTTGGTTTGGGAAGTACCCTGTGATTGTATTACAAGGTTTCCAAGCAGTGAAGGAGGGTCTCATCACCCACTCTGAAGATCTTTCTGGCCGGCCTTTGCTCCCCTTTTTTAAAGCAGTGGCGAATAATAAAGGTAAGAACAATCAACTTTTTTTTCAGATGTGGGCACAGGAGACAGGACAATGTCTATTTGTTTGGTGTCACCTCTGTTGTGGTTCAGCTAATCCTCAATTTTCAACCACATTTGGGACTGGAACCTCTGTTGCTAAGCGAGGAGGTCGTTAAGTGAGTTATGCCTGATTTTATTACCGTTTTGCCATGGTCATTAAGTGAATCCAGCTTCCCCTATTGGCTTTGCTTGTCAGAAGCTGCCGGGGAAAGTCGCAAATGTTCATTATGTGACTCCCGGATGCTGCAAATCATCATAAATACATGCCAGGGGATTTCCGGTTTACAATCGCGGCTCTGGTGGATGGGTGAAGTGATCGCTTTCTCCGCCGTCTGGTTTTCTCCTGCCAGGGGACCCTGAAAAGGGTCGGAAGTTGCCCTGGAGGGGCAATGAGCATGAAGAGGACTCCCGAGTGATCACGGAAGGGAGGCAGCCCTCCCGTTTGATCCAGGGCAACTCTTCGAACTGAAGGGGAAAAGATCAGCCGTTAACATGGCCCATCACTAAGCCGCTACCAGCCGAGACCAAAATTACCAACAAGCACTTTGAAAGCACCGCAAAGGAATTGGGTGAGATCTTACCTTCTTTGTACCCCAAGTATTTTCCTGTAAAAAGCTTCTTGAAATTTCTTTCCCCTGTGAGGAGAGAGGGAAGGGAATGTCTTCCTCCCACCCTCTGAAATGGTGGCGTCTGACTACCTAGGGAAAATAAAGCCTTGAAAAGAACAACTAAATAATTGGATTTGCATCTTCTTGATATTTGGGGACCCAAAAAGTTCTTAGTCTCACGGGGACTTGCTACTTTATCTACTTGTAAAAAAGATGAAAAAGAACTTAAATTGGATAAAAACCTAGCCCAGGATTTGAAAAAGACTTTAAATACTATCGGGTACATCTCGTGGTGAAACGTGGTACAGCAAGTGAATATTGTTGACAAAGAGACCTGCTCATAGCCCAGGTCTGTCCTTGGCATTATCTAAAAGAGATTAAAAGCTGAGAGAACAGTTGGGCGGTGAAATTGGTTTTTAGGAACTGTGGAGATGAACACTTACTGACTCTTGTTTAATAAATAGCCTTCACTAAAGGACCATCTATAACCATGTCAGAAATGGAGGAGGACCAGCAACAAATTTCGGCTAATTATAAACTTATACTTGAAAACATTCTTGAAGCTACTGAGATAATTAAATCTAGACTGAAAGACAAAGGTGCCAGCTTAAATCTACAAAGCGAAACCCTGATTGCAACTAAAGAATTTACAATCCAAAAAACAACAGAAGTGGAAGAAATTAACACCAAGACACTTTAAAGATCAACAAGTACAACGTACTGAAAATTTAGACAATCAAATCCTGATTCCAACTAAAGAACCTACAACTCAAAAAACAACAGAAGCGGAAGAAAGCAATACCAAGACAGAGGACATTAAAGATCAACAAGTACAGCTTACTAAAAACTTAGGCAATCAAACAATAACTATAAAATTGGACATGACTCTCTACTTAAACCAGAAGAAATCTGAGGAGGAAGAAGACCAGATTGAATTGAAGACAACTACACTAGAACACATATGGGGATCTGAGCCACCAAGGTGACAACTTAATGATTATAAATGGGCCAGTTTCTCTCGAAAATCGACAGTTAGTTGGTCTCCTTTAATTCAAATAACATGCACAAGAATGGAGATCTATCTGATGATCTAAAATTTATTGATATTGATATAAAAGCCTGGTTGGCATAAAAAGAAAGCTAGAGTTAGATTTAAAAGATGGGGTCTTTCGATTTATTAGAGAGGATCCTAAAGTTTCAACTAATGGGCTAATGGGAGATTTTGAGATGAAAGGAAATTTGATTATTAGATTTAAATATTGTTGGAAAATAATAAAAAAACAAGGGATTAATTGGCTTAATATTGAGGATTTCGACATAAGGGTAATGAAAATTAACTATTAGGAAATAGCTTTGAATTATTGTTTAGCCCAGATAACGCAGATGATGGATTTGCGATAATAAAGTATGCTCCATTATTGTGGTGATGTACTAGGATGAGAAAGAGAAAATGTTTATGAAATAAAATATTTAAGTAGATAATATGTGTATTTTAGATAATATAACTTTTATGTAGTGAAATAAAGGAAATTTGGATTACCCGAAAATTAAATACTATGGATATTAAAGATTAAATTGGAATCTTGTAATTAAATATTTAAATTAGGTAAAATTTAAAAACAGGATATGGATATGTATAAGCAAAAACATATTGATAAATGTTTCAACTGAGTTTGATATAATTAGAAATTTACTAGCTTAAATATAATATAGCAAATATTAAGGGAAATAGAGAAGGAATTTTTGATGATGTAACCTGAGATACGTACTAAAGATTTTGTTATTGAATTATTGACTAACCCAATCACCACGTTGCTTTCCAAATACTCAAATATAAAACTGGAAAACCAATAAAAATGTGTTATAAAAATATATAAATACATGCCAGGTACAGTTGAATTTTGACTGTTATAAGTGTGAGGACTAGTCATAAGTCACCTTTTTTAGCATTGTCGTAATTTCAAACGGTTGTTAAACAAATTGTCATAAATTGAGGACTACTTCTACAGTTGCAATGCAAAAAGTGAGTTCTCTCTAACGTCAATAAACTCTCAATTTTATCCATAAGAAAATTGCCATTTCTTTTCCTCCCCTGGAAAATTATTGGCTTCTTCTTTTTTTTAAAATGATGTTGAATTAGAATAATTATTTCATGGGGATAATTCACAAAGATCAGAATGACATTAACGTTCCCTTCTTTAGTTTAGTAAGAATTTACATCCTTAAATATTGACATACCGAGCATATATATTTTTGAGAAATTAAATAAATCTTCCAGGTGTTTGAACTTCCATGGAAGAAGATGTAGCTGCAAATTTAATGTGAAGGAAATTGATGACACCATTGCTATGATGGAATCTGGAAAGTTCTAGGGCCAGATGAAATAATTGCAGAGCACTATAAAAATATTAAGGCAAGAATAGATTCACTATTATTGAAGAAATCTTGTTTTAAAATAGGACCTGCCAGTTTTATATTGTGCACTTGGTATACTAATCCTTTTGAAAGGTGAGAAGGACCCTGTGAATTGTACAAAATGTTATCTGATGCTGACACTAAAATTTTAACAAGTGGCTTTCGTGAGAAAGTTATAGAAGACAGAACCTACAATCATTCTTAATAATAATAATAAAGTTGGAAGGGACCTTGGAGGTCATCTAGTCCAACCCCCTGCTCAGGTAGGAAGCCCTATACCATTTCGGACAAAGAGCTGTCCAGTCTCTTCTTAAAAACTTCCACTGTTGGAGCATTCACCACTTCTGGAGGCAGGTTGTTCCACTGGTTAATTGTTCTAACTGTCAGGAAGTTTCTCCTTAGTTCTAGGTTGCTTCTCTCCTTGATTAGTTTCCATCCGTTGCTTCTCGTCCTGCCTTCAGGCGCTTTGGAGAATAGCTTGCCTCCCTCTTCTTTGTGGCAACCCCTGAGATATTGGAACACAGCTATCATGTCCCCCCTCGTCCTTCTCTTCATTAAACTAAATATATCCAATTCTTGCAACTGTTCTTTATATGTTTTAGCCTCCAGTCCCCTAATCATCTTTGTTTCTCTTCTCTGTACTCTTCCCGCTCTGTATTTCTTCCCGCTCAAGCAACAAACTTCAGATAATATTTGAGTTTTGGACAATGCATCATTCCTAAAAACACAGATCAGTAAATTTTGGCATTGCTGAATGCAGAAAAAGCTTTTGTTCTGGTACAAATTACGTTTTTGGTTCAAGTGATGAAGAAGCACAGCTAATAAAAAGTGTTCACAATTTTATAAAGGAAAAATAACTTTCTTAAAATAACTGAATGGCGAAATGTTTGACGTGTTCATTTGTTTGGCTCCCACGTCTACAAGGCACTCGGTGTACAGATAATCTTTGAGTAGTTGCAACCATTCATTTAGCAACTGCTTGAAGTTACAACAGCACTAAAAAAAAAAAAGGTTCCCATACTTACAGGCCACAAGGCATTCAGTGTACTTATAATCTTTGAGTAGTTACAACCTTCATCTAGCAACTGCTTGAAGTTACAACAGCACTGAAAAAGGGTTCCCACACTTACATTGCAGCAATCCCATGGTCATAAAAGAATAGAAGAATAACAGAACCGGAAGGGACCTTGGAGGTCATCTAGTCCAACCCCCTGCTCAGGCAGGAAACCCAGTCTGGCTGACCAGTCTCTTCTAAAAAACCTCCAGTGTTGGAGTATTCACAACTTCTGGAGGCAGGTTCTTCCACTCAAGAGGAATAATCACCAATTCGGTTAGATTTGTTTCCCAAACTCCACACCCTAGTTGTGTCTCGGAGTTGCATTCACACACAGTTTATTCAGCTGGATTAGGCTTCAGTTTGTTCCGATTTGGTTTTGGAGAATTTAAATGGCCTGTTTGGGCATCTAAAATGCTTAATTCAGTAAAGATGTTGTATCAACACACTATAAAGCAGTGGTTCTCAATCTGTGGGTTGGGACCCCATTTGGGGTCGAACGACCATTTCACGGGGTCGCCAAACAACGCAGTCCGCCATTTCCCCCCCCCTTTTCCTTAGCTGTGCTACTCCCTTTTATTCTATTGGCTTTTGAAAGCCAATAGAATAGACTCTCTTGAATAGAGTCTAATTCTATTGGCTTTCAAAGCCAATAGGAATTGTCCAGGCTGTCTCTGCCCTGCTGAGCCCGCCAAAAGTCCCATTCTGCAAACGGTGCTGCACCAGTTGAGTAGTCCTTGACTTACGAGCGGTTGAGTAGTCCTCGACTTATGACTGGTTGGGGGTCGCGGCATTAAAATGGTTGAGAACCCACTGCTATAAAGCAACAAAGCAAAGGATTAAAGGCCATATCCCTCCCCTCCAATAAAGGAACAGAGCAATGGCACTCATTAAGCTGAATTAATTTCAGTGGGATTAAAAGTTTACTTTCCATATAATTTAACCAAGTTGGAAGGGATCTTAGAGGTCTTCTCGTCCAGCCCCCTATACCAATTTAGAGAGATGGCTGTCCAATCTCTTCTTAAAAACCTCCAGTGATGCAGCACCCACAACCTCTGAAGGCAAAGCCATCCCACTGATTAATTGTTCTCATTGTTAGGAAATTTCTCTTTATTTCTAGGTTGGATCCCTCCTTGGTTTGCTTCCATCCATTGCTTCTCCTGCCTTCAGGTGCTTTGCAGAACAGGTTACCCTCCTCTTCTTTGTGGCAGCCCCTCAAATATTGGAACGCTGCTATCATCTCACCCCTGGTCCTTCTTTTCATTAAACTAGACACACCCAATTCTTGCAACTGTTCTTCATATGTTTTAGCCTCCAGTCCCCTAATCATGTTTGCTGCTCTTCTGCACACTTTCCAGGAACTCAACATATTTTTTGTATTGTGGCAACCAAAACTGAATGTAATATTCCAAGTGTGGTCTTACCAAGGCATTATAATGCGGCACTAACACTTTACTTCATAGGTTTATGATGGTTGCAGTATCCCAGGCTCATATTATCATCATTTGCAATTTTCCCAGCCAGCTTGACAAGTAAAGTCAATGGGGGAAATTGTGATTCACTTAATAACTCCAGTGATTCACTTAACAACCAAGCCAAAAAGCAATAGCACTTAGTCTTATACGTTGCTTCATACTGCTTTACAGAGCTCTCTAAGCCAGGCGTCCCCAACCCTCACGATGTGGTCCAGTGCCGGGCTTTGGAAGCGGCGGGCAAGTGTGTGCACAGCTCCACTTGCGTGAGTGGTGGGTGGGCATGCTTGCACAAAAAGCTCCATTTGGGCAAAGGGCTGGCACACGGGCCCGCCTAGTGGTAGGATTCAAATAAGTGAACAACCGGTTCTCTGTGTGGATGCTGCTTCCAGAAATCTATTCTGGGCTTGGGCAAGCAAAACTTAGCTACCGGTTCTGCTGAAGTGGTGCGAACTGGCTGAATCCCACCACTGGACCCGCCACTTGTGCAAATGGAGCTGCAAATGCACGTATAGGGTTTGTACAAGGTATTCTTGTTGTTAGCCTAACTGCCGCCATTTTGCTTCTGTAAACTGTCCTTGCGGTAGGGACACCATTTTATGAAGGCAGGAAGAACACTTATACAGACCCAGAGACAAGGAAAAGAGCGGGAAAAGAATGGAATGTGATTGGTTAATACTATGTGTACTGACATGTGTAACTCTGTGATTGGCTGTTGCTGCCTGTATAAGGATATGCTTGACTGACCAAGGTGTGGCACTTCTGAACGCAGCTGCCAGCGTTTCAGAGTGTTCCAGCCAGCAACTTCACTTGATCAATTAAAGCGCTGTTTATCTTGGAAGGCTCCGCTTGAATCTCCTGATTTGCCCTCTTGGAACCTCACGTTCTTCGGGTAGCGATTGACCCTCACACACGCATGCCCACCACTTACATGGATCCATCCCCTCTTCTCCTCCTTTCCCCGCCAGTCTGCCAAGCTGGAAAGATTGGGGACCGCTGCTCTAAGTGGTTTTAGAGTCAGCCTATTGCCCCTCTCAACAATCTAGCTCAGTGGTTCTCAACCTTTTTAATGCCGCGACCCCCAACCGGTCGTAAGTCGAGGACTACTCAACCAGTCGTAAGTCGAGGACTACTCAACTGGTGCAGCACCGTTTACAGAATGGGACTTTTGGCAGGTTCAGCAGGGCAGAGACAGCCTAGACAAGTCCTATTGGCTTTTGAAAGCCAATAGAATTAGACTCTATTCAAGAGAGTCTATTCTATTGGCTTTCAAAAGCCAATAGAATAAAAGGGAGTAGCACAGCTAAGGAAAAGGGGAAAAAATGGCGGACTGCGTTGTTTGGCGACCCCCGTGAAATGGTCGTTAGACCCCAAATGGGGTCCCGACCCACAGGTTGAGAACCACTGATATAGCTCCTCATTTTACTGACCGCAGAAAGATGGAAGGCTAAGTCAAGCCTGAGCCAGTCTGGATCGAGCTTCTGGCAGTGGGCAGAGAATTAGCCTGCACTGCTGCATTCTTAACGACTGCACCAACCGGGCTCAGCTTGTAAAAAAGATTAAAAAGATTGTAAAACTGGATGGGTCTCACTTAACAATCACCCTGCTGAACAATGCGAATTCTGCTCCCAATTGTGGCCTTAAATCAAGGATTAACTATATTGGAGGATCCTTCCCTGAGATTATACTGATGATTTATTGCTATCATGCTTTAAAAAAGAAAATTACAGAAATCACTTTGGACAATATGCAAGGTAACCAGAATAGAGACATGTTCAGAAAATAAATGCTAACAATTTGTATTAATCAAAAATCAACACTTCAAATAGTAGAATGTTAACGCAGTTGTGAAATTTGAATTGATTCGTTGCATGGGTTTTGGGGTTTCCTTTTTTACTTTATTTCTTCCCCTCCCCCTCCGAGTATTTTTCTTGGTTATTTACTTCTTTGTTTCTAATGTTTTTCTACTTTTCTTCTTGCTTTGTTTTCCTTAATTCTTTTCTCCCATTTTTAGTTAGCCTAGTTTAGTCTTTCTGTTTTATGATAGTGTTTCTTACTAACTCCAAAGCCTATGCTGCCCACCTGGCAGAATTGGACTTCAAGTTTCAAAGGCAGCCTTACGTTCCAGATGTGATCAGCCATGGTGGCACCATCTTTAGAATGCAGCATTGCAGGCTAAATCTGCCCCCTGCCAGCAGTTTGATTCTGACCGACTCAAGGTTGGCTCAGCCTTCCATCCTTCCAAGGTTGGAAAAATAAAGACCAAGATTGTTGGGGGGCAAGAGGCTGACTCTGTAAACCGCTCAGAGAGGGCTGCAAAGCAGTGTGAAGCGGTATATAAGTCTAAGTCCCCTGGCTCTTGCTATTGCTATCACAATGTTCTGATAGTTCTGTCAGTTCTAAAGACTGGAGTAAGGCCAATCATCTGTCATTCTGTGGTTCTGTGTCATCAGGGATTCTGCTTTCCACGGGTCGAACCTGGAAGCACCAAAGGCGATTTTCAATGGCGACTCTGAAGGTCCTCGGCATGGGGAAGAGCTCTCTGCAGTATCAGATCCAAGAGGAAGCACAGAATTTGGTGGAGGAGTTCAGGAAAAGTGAAGGTACTACGAAGACGAGTGCGTTTATTTATTTATTTATTTATTTATGCCAGACACCTGTATTTTTAAATTTGTTTCAATTTTCCAAAATGTAAAAGCTAAGACAAATAGGATAGTCTGAAGTCATTTCTCCAGTGTCTGCAAGGGAAGGCAAAATATCAAAAAAGATCAAGATGGTGGCTCATACAATCAAAGCTTTGATCCTTTTTTTCATGTTTTGTGCAAGGAAATGTAAGATGGGCCAATAAGTAAATAAATAGAGAGGATAAATGATTGATAGATAGATAAATAGGTAGATAGATAGATAGATGTTAATAGCTAGATATAGATAGATGATAGATGATACATAGATGAGATAGATGAGATAGATAGATATAGATAGATATAGAAAGATAGAAAGATATAGATAATAGATAGGATAGAGATAGACAGATAGATAGATAGATAGATAGATAGATAGATATAGATGATAGATAGATAGATAGATAGATAGATAGATAGATATAGATAGATGATTGGTAGATAGATAGATAGATAGATAGATAGATAGATGATAATAGATAGATATAAATAGATGATAGATGATTGATCGATGAAATAGATAGATAGATGATTGATTGATTGATAGATGATAGACAGATAGATGATAGAAATAGATAGATGACAGATAAATATAGATAGATGATAGTTGATAGCTAGATAGATAGTTAATAGCTAGATATAGATAAATGATAGATCATACATAGATGAGATAGCTATAGATAGATAGATATAGATAGATATAGAAAGATATAGATAATAGATAGGTTAGAGATAGATAGATAGATAGATAGATAGATAGATAGATAGATAGATAGATAACGTGATAGATATCACGTCACCCCTCGCCCTTCTCCGTGTGCCCTGTGCAATCTTTGCAAGAGACATGCCAGGCACCAAATTCCTCTTTCCTTTCCTTTGCAGGAAAACCCATGAATCCTTATTTGGCCCTAACCCTTGCGGTTTCCAACGTGATTTGTGTCATGGTGTTTGGATATCGTTTTTCCATAGAAGACAAGACTTTTCATACTCTGCTGGAATCCATGGAGATACTTTTCAGAGTTGCTGGCAGTTTCACGGGTCACGTGAGTGATCCCTTCTTTCCTTTTTCTTGTTTTTAAGATATAAATATTGTATTAGTTTTCTAATTTTACAATCATGAGTACTTTATAAACAACGTGTTGTCTGGGTCCATTGATAATTCAGTGGTACATGTTAGTCTATTTCCAATACTACACCATCCAGGGCTTCCTCGATCCTCCCTTCTTCCGGTGTATTTTTCCACACTGGGCAAATACAACTCATTTTACTATTAATACATATACAATTAAATATAAATATCTTCATCACATTTTTCTGGTATTCTATAAAATATCGATAGTGTCAATTTATAATATCTTTTCTAGCCAGAATGTATCTCAATTGCATTTGCACTTAAAATCCATTTGTCCAATCAATATCCTATTTTTCCCGCTTTTTAAAAATTTTAATTTTCCATCAATGTTTACAACATCTCTAGCGCTTATAATTTTTTCATAATAAATTATATGTGGGTAGCCAAAAGCTTCACTTATTCAAATCCTTTTAGAATTTTCATATTTCCCATCTCATAACAAAATATGATATTCTATTTACAAATCCTATCCTTTTAATTATAATAATACTTTTATTTCTAACAGTTATCTTTTTTCTTAACCATATTCAAACATCTGTTTAATAGTATAATATCCCATCTAATATGTCAAAGCCTCTATTTTCTTTAGTCTTACTCTAGCTTTCTTCCTTTGCCAAATAACTTTCCAAGTCAGTGTATTTGAATCATCAAGTAATTTTTCCTCTGTTTTTGTATATATTGTTTGGAATGAGGAAGAGAATTTGATTGAAGTATTTTTGGAAGAATGCTCAACCCATTTATATTCATTAAACAGCTTCCATCCTTCTCCTTCAGTTTTTCTTTTCATTTCTTGTTTGTCAATATTCAGCACTTCTCCTAACAGCTTTATCATCCGTTCGATCAGCTCTTCTTCCTTATCCTCAAATGTGTTCTGAGATCTTGACAAGTAATATATCATTTCCATTTACTGTGTTATCACTGCATCTTCTAATTTTTCAATTGTCTGTATCTGTCTGTTAAATCCTTCCTTTAGGTCCTCCATCTTTGGATCCGTTTCTTCTAATTTTCCTTCCATTTTCTGGGTTACTAGTTCCTTCTTTGTAGTTGTTGTCTGGATTTGTAAGTTTAGGTAAGAAAATTGTTCTTTTATCTCATTAGCATTATTTTTAGTCTCATCATGAAATAAAACAATTGTCTCTTGGATTACTTTCAACATAGAAAGAATTTCTTTCGAAGATTCTTTAACATTTTCTTGTTATATCAAGCTGTTAAAAATGTTTTTTTTTACCATTTAAGTCTAAGTATTGAGTACCCATTTTGTTTTTGTATGTAGTCTTTAGAGTCCAATAGGGTCACCAACACAGATAAGCAGCCAAGAGGTTTTTTTTCCTTTTCCCAGCTGCAGTCTGCAAAAGTGAAAGTTTCCAAGAACAACAAAGAGTCTTATCTAAGTCTGGGCTTAGAATTAGAAAAATAAGATTTTCTCTTACGCCTCTTCCTCCAAAGATGTTCAAAACAACTCGAATTTAATTTATCCTGGAGTAAAGAAAGCAGCGTAGAATGTTCTCGTCACATCAAAATCTTGATCATTTCTGCCAAGAACATTCTCAAGATTGTTCTCCAGGATTTTGCTCTCAAATCAGTTCCTTTTCCCCTCTGTTTAATCCCTATTTCTTTATTATATTGAGACGGCCAGCCATCTCAGGTGATTTTTCTTCTCTTCTGCCAGCTGTACAATATGCTTCCCTGGCTTATGCCGTATGTCCCAGGACCTCACAGGAGGGCATTATTCTTGCGTGACTTTGTTTGGTCATTCATAAGAGAGGAAATCAAGAAGCACCAAGAAGCAGACCATGGAGAAAAAGGCCAAGACTTCATTCATTTTTACCTGGCTCAAATAGAGAAAGTAAGTGGGTGCTCTTTTTTGTGTGATTGTTAGATGCCTTATCATATAAAGGCTTCCCAACCCTCACAACTTCAAGACGGGTGGACTTCAACTCTCAAAATTCCCCAGCCAGCAAGCTGTATAGTAGCCTTGAGTATTGTCTTCTCTCAGGATTGTGACAATGCAGCATTGTAGAGGATGCCAGGGCTCTGACCCCTAGGAGCAAATGTCTGCCTTTCTTGGCCCTGCCTTCCCTCAAGGGAGAAGATTACAGCTGTTGAAATTGGCAATGTCAGAAAGTCTGTTTATATATAGCACTGCAGAGCAAACAAACAGTACAGTCACCATGTGCTTTACTGCTCAACTGTTTTAAACTCTAACAGAAATAGGAAACTCTCCCCAGAATAAACAGAGCCATAGACATTATAACTATAGATGCAAACTAAACACTGCCATCTACTGGCTGAATGATTCTGTAGTTGTTGAAATACAAAATGCATTCTAACATGGATTCCATCAGGCAAGGACTGGAAGGAGGTTTCTCAAGTATTCATTTCTCCATTTTTGTTCTGCAGACGAAGAACCACCCCGAACCTCGCTATGACGAAAAGAACATGGTTCAGAGCATCTTTGATCTCTTTATGGGGGGAACAGAGACATCGGGAACCACTCTCTACTGGGGATTGTTGTATATGGTGCTTTATCCTGACATTCAAGGTGAGAGAAGAATCACAAGTTGGATGAGATAGAAGGGACCTTTATAGCCCAACTATACTCAATGCCTGAAGCTGCTTGTAGCATCTTCAGTTGTAATTGACAATTATTATTGGAAGAATTCTTTATTTATCGGTAGTCCTCAACTTACAATCATAATGCAGGATGTTCATTACGGTCTACAACATTTACTAAGTGGGCCACCTCGCTTAATGACCCCAACCCCTGCTCTCCTCAGTGTAGTTGTTTTTATTTATTTATTTAATTTTATTCAAATACAAAGCTTGATGTTCACCATATGTCTTCATTTAATGCCTGTGACCCGAAAACATAAAACCAAGGATGCCCATTGTGCTTGGCCCAATTGGATGGGTAGAAACATTTGAAAAAAAGCGATTCCCTCAGGGGTGTCCAACCTTGGCAACTTTAAGACTTGTGGACTTCAACTCCCAGAATTCCTCAGCCAGTATGGCTGGTGGGGGAATTCTGGGAGTTCAAGTCCACTAAAGTTCAAATTGCCACAGTTGGACACCCCTAGGAACTTTAGGCTTGTAGGCCTCAACTCCCAGAATTTCTCAGCCCACAAGGCTGGCAGAGGAATTCTGGGAGTTGAAGTCCACAAAATGTAAAGATGCCAAGGTTGGACACCCCTGGTCTAGATAATTCGCTCCTCCTGGGCTGAGCTTCTGCCATTAATAGACCACGGACAGCTGAGGCCATACCTGGATGCTTATTCACTCCTAACTCTAGTCAACGTGCAAAATCTTTGTTTCTCCCCAGCCAAAGTTCAAAAGGAAATCGATAGCTTTCTACCACCGGGCCAAACAATCTGTTATGAGGATCGCAAGAATCTTCCGTACACAAATGCGGTGGTGCATGAAATCCAGCGCTTTAGCAACATCGTCTCGATCGGAATGCCCAGATACTGCATAAGAGATACGATGATTCGGAATTTTCACATTAGAAAGGTAAATGAATTTCTGTGTTCCGGAGCCTTCGTTTCTTCTGCTCACCATATTGCTAGAGGAAGCACATAAAATACAGGGAGTCGTCAGTTAATGATGGGAATTGGACTGAGAACTCTGTTGTTAACTGCGACGTCATGTGACTGCATCAATGTACGATGACGGTTCGGGCAGTTCCTGTTAGGCTCTATTTTATTCTTATTCTTTTATTCTTTTTTAATGCTGAAATGCAAACATCGAATCAGCGAACATCGAAACATCAAATCAGTGAACACCTAGAGGCAAACAAAGTCATTACTACAAGCCAACATGGGTTTGTCAAAAACAGATCATGCCAGACAAATCTTATTGCATTCTTTGATCAAGTGACAAAATTAGTGGATCAGAGGAATGCTGTGGATATAATTTACTTGGACTTCAGTAAGGCATTTGATAAAGTAGATCACAACCTACTACTTGATAAGATAGAAAAATGTGGGTTAGACAGCATCACTACCAGATGGATTCGTAGCTGGCTGACCAACCATACTCAACATGTGGTCCTCAATGGAACTGCATCTACATGGAAGGAAGTGTGTAGTGGGGTGCCCCAGGGCTCTGTTCTTGGCCCAGTGCTCTTCAACATCTTCATCAATGATTTGGACAAGGGGATAGATGGGGAAATCATCAAATTTGCAGACGACACCAAGCTGGCAGGAATAGCCAACACTCCAGAAGACAGACTTAGGATACAGGAGGATCTGGACAGACTTGAACACTGGGCGCTATCTAACAAAATGAAATTCAATGGTGAAAAAAGGAAGAGAATGCTTTAAGAGAATAAAACTACATACACACATAGGTAAAAAAAGGATATATGCAGTGTTATCTTCATTTTAGATGTCAAAAGGCTCTCTCTCTCTCGTCTCTCTCCCTCCCTCCCTCTCTGCCCTTGGTCTGCCACTCCTCTTCCCCCACTCTCTTTCTTTCTCTCTCTTTCCTCTCTCTCTCCCCCTCCCTCTCTCTCTCTTTCTCTCTCTCTCTTTCTCCCCCCCATCTGCTGCTCACCTGGCAAGCTTCAAGCTGTTGTCCAACAAGCTCAGGGGTAAGCAACCTCATCTCTTTTATGACTCATGGACTTCAACTCCCAGAATTCCTGAGTCAGCCTAGCTGGGCTAGCTAGCTCTCTCCTGCCCTTCCTGCTTCCTGCAGAGACGCAGCAAAGGGAGGAGCTCAGCCCAGTAAGCTTTTCAGCTCCTCGGAGAACAATGTGAGTGCACTCTCTTTTACACATACACACACACAAAACACACACACACAAAACACACACACACACAGAGAGAGAGAGAAGCAGGGAAGCGCAATTGCCTCTCTCTGTCTCTGTCTCTCTCTGCAGAGGAGGCTGGGAGCCACCGGGGAAGGCTCAAAGAGCCGCATGCGGCTCCGGAGCCGCAGGTTGCCGACCTGTGGTCTAGTTTAATGAAGAGAAGGATGAGGGGGGACATGATAGCAGTATTCCAATATCTCAGGGGCTGCCACAAAGAAGAGGGAGTCAAGCTGTTCTCCAAAGCACCTGAAGGCAAGACAAGAAGCAATGGGTGGAAACTGATCAAGGAGAGAAGCAACCAAGAACTAAGGAGAAACTTCCTGACAGTTAGAACAATTAACCAGTGGAACAACTTGCCTCCAGAAGTGGTGAATGCTCCAACACTGGAAGTTTTTAAGAAGAGACTGGACAGTCATTTGGCTGAAATGGTACAGGGTTTCCTGCCTGAGCAGGGGGTTGGACTAGATGACCTCCAAGGTCCCTTCCAAACTTTATTATTATTATTATAAAGCCACAAAGTCCTTTCTTTCTTCACACACAAACAAAAAAGGGATGTTTGATCTCTTCTGAGTTGAGCTCGGCTTCTGTCTCTCCATAGAGCAGGCGGTTGGACTCAATGACCTCCAAGGTCCCTTCCAACTTTTTTATTATTATTATTATTATTATTATTATTATTATTATTATTATTATTATTATTATTATTATTATTATTATATTTCGCTTTCCCTCAGGATAATTTTTTTTTCAATTGCCCAGCCTTAACCTATTTGTATTTTTTTTAGAAGAGTGATCTTTAAAGCCATGAATTGAAATTTGTCACTTCAGCCTCCGTTGGCAGCAGATATAACCATTTTTTTCTTCCCTCAGGGAGAAAGGCAAAACTTAAGTGTTCCTCTTCTTTTCCACAGGGCACCACCTTTATCCCGAACACGGCTTCTGCCTTGTATGATGCCAACGAGTGGGAGACACCCCTCGCCTTCAACCCAAACCATTTCCTCGACAAGGAAGGCAATTTTATCTGTCGAGAAGCATTCATCCCATTTTCTCTAGGTGCTCGTTCAGCTTGTTAAAATTCCATCGAATCTTTAATGATATGCCTTGACCGTTCCTGTTTTCACCCCTCAAACTATCATAAGTATGAAAGCCCATCATAAGTCACTTTTTTCAATGATGTTGTAACTTTGAATGGCCACTGAACAAATATTTGTAAGTTCAGGACTTCCTGTATTCCCCTTACTGGGCAGGGATACGAACAACAGTGTCCAAGGGAATCCAGGTCAATCACATTGTAAACTCTAATCAGGGGTGGGGGACGATGGCCCTTTTATGACTTGTGGACTTCAACTCCCAGAATTCCTCAGCCAGCCATGATGGACTTCAACTTCCAGAATTCCTAAGATGGTCATGCTGGTTCAGGAATTCTGGGAGTTGAAGTCCACAGGTTGTAAAAGGGCCATAGTTGCCCAATCCTTTTATTACCTGTGGACCTCAAAGCCCAGAATTCCTAAGACGGTCATGCTGGCTCAGGAATTCTGGGAGTTGAAGTTCACAGTCATAAAGGGACCCATGGTTCCCCACCTCTGCCCTAATCACTCCCTGCCAGTACTGATTTGTTGTTTTCCTCTCCTCTCCTAGGTCATCGAGCATGTTTGGGAGAAAATTTGGCAAAAACAGAGATGTTCCTTTTCTTTACCAACCTTGTGCAAGCGTTCAATTTCCACTTGGCCGACGGATCAAAAGATATAAAGCTTGACGCGATCTGGGGAAGCACTCTGCATCCTCATTTCTTTGAGATCTGTGCAATTCCTCGCTAGGCCACTATGCCAGGTCTGTCTAGCAGCTGTAGTGCCTATGGATTGGCTGGATTTGAAATGGATGGTTGGACACTGGGGGGGGGGGGTGGAGACCTGAATGTAATCATTTGCGCGGGAAATCATCAGACCTTGCTTTGCTCTACTAACTTTCAATAAAAGTTCCTTTTGAAACAATGCCTGTTTCAAGAGTTCTGCTTTCTTGGGAGATCTAGCTGCGGCAGATCCTTACATCTACTGTGAAATGTTACGAAAACTCAGACGAACCATCCATAAAAAGCGTTGGGACTTTGGATAAGAAAGTGGGAATTACTTTAGTAGATGAACATTTGGTAATCCAGATCAAGGATCAGAAATATGCCCATATTAAAAGAATTTACAATGAGTTAATAAAATTGGATTCAGAAACAGTGTTAGTAAAAGATTGTATGATTAAATGGGCCCAGAATATTCAGGAACCGATTTCATTGGATTTATGGGAGGTGATTTGGACCAGAAATGCTAAATTTATGCAGGCCCAAAATTTGAGGGAAAATTTTTATAAAATGTTTTATAGATGGCATCTGGATCCTAAAAAGTTGTCCTGTATGTACCCGAAACTGCAACCTAAATGTTGGAGATGTGGTTGCTTGGATGCAACCTATTTTCATGTTTGGTGGACTTGTAAAGATATTAAAGCCTTCTGGATTATGATTTGGTGGAACATTCAAAAGGTTTTTAAAAGGAAGATTAAGTTTACTCCCCAACTGTTTCTTTTGGGCATTTTTGTGGATTTTAATGTTAAAGAAAATATTTTATTGTTGAATTTAATAACAGGAGCAAGATTATTGGTGGGTCAATATTGGAAGAAGGATACTCTGCCTTCTTTAGAAGAATGGGTATTTAAGATTTCTAATTTATCAGAAATGGCTAAAATTTCTGCTTATTTAAAGGACCATTCACAAGAGAGATATTTTAATGTGTGGATAAGATGGATAGAATATGTTCAGAAGAAGTATGGAACTACAAAGTTTCATTTATTTTATGAGTAATGAATTTGTTTATAAATTTATGATGTTAAAGTTTGAAGAGAATTAAGGGTTAATATGATTTTGTTCATTGTATAATTAGTAAACTTAAATAGATTATGCTTAATATGTTTGTATACTCCTGTACTTTGCTCTGGGAAGTCGGGGGGAGGGGAGGGGGGTGGGGAGGGGGGGGTGGGGGGTGGATGGGTCGAAGTTTAAGTAGTTCAGATAAAGTAGAAATAGTTTTACTGTATATAATATTAATGTTTCAATTTGGAGAGAGGAATTGTTAGGGCATTTCCCCTGAACCGCATCCGGAGTGAGAAGGTAGAAGAAGGTGAGAAGTAAGTAGGAAGGTTGAGGAGAGGTGGAGAGTGAGGAAGAGGAAGAAGAGGGAAAGAGGCAAGTTGGTTGGGGGTGGATGCGGTTTGGGGGGAAATGGGTGGGCAATACCGAAAGTGGTGTGTATCAATTTGTTTTATTTTTTATCTGAAGTATTTTTAAGATTGTAATGTATTGTAAAACTGAAAATAAAAACTTTTAAAAATAATAATAATAATAATAAAAAAGCGTTGGGGTATGCAGACTTCCAGTGTGGTATTGGTTTGAAATAATGCTCGCCCGCACACCACTAGACACACCCAATATAATGTGTATAATAAAAGTTCTATATCTGCGAGTGTCTGTCACTGATAACCAAACAGAGATTTATTTCCAAATTGGCCTCGTAAAAATAATATAAACAGTATATTTGCAGTAATCTCCCAGATGAATCTTCCCCAAAATGCTAATTATTGCTCTCTTCTAGGAGATGTCCCCCCCCCGCAATTGTAATTCTGCTTTCTTTTCATGATGCTTTGGACTTACCAATCCTCATTGGAACTGCATCTACACAGAGGGAAGTTAGCAGTGGGGTACCCCAAAGTTCTGTTTCAGGCCCAGTAATTTTCAACATAAATGATTTAGATGAGAGAACAGAATGGGAATTCATCAGATCTGCCGACGACACTAAATTGGCAGGAATAGTCACCACTCCAGAAGATAAGCTCAAAATCCAGATCAATCTCAACAGACTTCAACACTGGGCCCAATCTAACCAAATGAAATTCAATGTAGATAAAAGTAAGGTTTTACACTTACGTTTGAAAAATCAAATGTACATGTATAGATTAGGTAAAACCTGGCTCTATAGCAGTAACTGTGAGAGGGATCTTGGAGTCCTAGTGGGCAATCACTCAAATATGAGCCAGTCATGTGCTGCAGCTGCCAAAAAAGCCAACACAGTGCTAGGCTGCATTAACAGAGGGATAGAATTGTAAGGTCCCAGTCCCTTACTTAAACTTGGGATACCATATCAATGTAATCAGATAACCCAAGCGGAGACTTCTTGATCAAGCAGCAGTTTATTTGATTAAATTAAGCAGCTGGGTGTCCAATAATCTGGAACGCTGGCAGAGTGCCACACCTTAGAAAGTTGGTAGCATTGCTTTATAAACTTTGTTAGCCAATGAAAATCAGACAACAGAGCCATTACATCTTAAGAAAGACATCAATCATTCCTGTACACTCCCCTATTCCCTCCTTCAGTATATCGCATCCATGTACCGTATATGCCGGCGTATAAGGCGACCTCCGCAAGCATTAAAATCGGCGCCAAAGACGGGGGTCGTCTTATACGCCAAGTCATCTTATACGCCAGAAATACTGGTAGTTTCCGGCGTATAAGACGACGTTCTAGGAATGCGACTTGGCGCCAAAGACGGGGGTCATCTTATACACCAGGCCGCCTTATACGCCGGCATATACGGTTCATGTTTCTCAGTTTGCATGAGATTTCCCTGGTGCAAAAGCCGATTACAAAAAGCAAGAAAGCAACAGTGAGATTAAACAATTTCCTTTTGTTCCAGAACCCTTCATTCCCCCCTTTAATTTTGTAACAGAATGCTTTCTGTTACTTGGTGACCAATGATGTATATTCCTTTGTTATTGTGGTAATAATCAGGACGTTGGCTGGCTTATGAGGTTTATCACTACTTACAGAGGTGCTATGACTGTCTTCCCTAAGATGGTAGAAGCAACTGTTCTTTGGATAACAGGAATCATAGATGGCAAAACCAAAAGACCTCTAAATGCAGCAACATGTAAAAGGAAAGCCATACCCCTTTGTTTTCACAAAACTTTCTTTTGTAGTATTATTTTAACCAATTAATTTTCTTTATCTTTCTCTACGTGTACTTCTCGCCTCGGGCTAATGGAGGTTCCCCCCAAGCATAGTACAGAGAAGCAAAACAGCATTATGTTATTCTAAATACCCTTGATCTGTAATTATTTCTAATACAGCTTGCAGTCTAACAATTCTATTTATAAACAAGAGTCCTAGAAGTTATACATTCCATCTTCTTGCCATGTAGTAGGTCCATCTGGGACAGTCCAGTTGAAGGTGGCATCTGTTAGATTGGTCCATAAGGTAGACAGTTGGAGAATGTTTGCCATGAGAGTTTGAGGTTAGGCCAAATTGGTGAGGGTAATCCACCAAAAAGATACTGAGGTGCTCACCTATAAGAGATGTTCAGACCTAAGTCTCCCCAAGATTTTTAACCAGAAAAATCTGTTTTTAAAACAGAGGCTTCCCACTATGGAAGTGGTCAGAATACACATATTGGGTCTATTGGTGGCTTTTCTCAGTGAGATTTTGACTACTGTATATGCTGGCGTATAAGGCGACTTCTGCAAGCGCTAAAATTGGCACCAAAGACGGGGGTCGTCTTATGCGCCGAGTCATCTTATATGCCGGAAATACTGGTAGTTTCCGGCGTATAAGACGACGTTCTAGGAATGCGGCTTGGCAACAAAGATGGGGGTCGTCTTATACGCCGGGTCGCCTTGTATGCCGGGTCGCCTTGTACGCTGGCATATACGGTAGTCAGGGCAGTAAAATTTATTTCACGTGCTTCCCAAGGCCATTGTTCACCGATGCTAGTACGCACATACATATAACAGTTAGTTACATTAAGAGATGAAGCAATTCTTTTGGGCCAGATCAATAAAAAAATTCTTTGATACTGAGGGAATTTCAATTGTGGCTTCCAGTTCATCGTAAAAAGAATGAAAAACTCAAAAATGTTTCTGGGACAGTGGTATAATAGTGTCAAATTGTACCCATATTTGTATCTGGTTCAATCGATAGCTGGTCCAAATGACGCTGAGAAATCTGCTGGTTTGGTTATCTTGAAGCAAATCAGGTTGCAGGAATCAACATTGCACTGAGAAGTGCCGACTCTTTTAATCACATTGAATTTTCCTTTGATTGTGCCATGTTGGGTAGGATGTAGTTTGTGTTAAATGAGTAAGCTTGTCTCCATACTTAGTCTGTTTAGCTTGATTATAGTCACTAGGTTTACACGCATCAAAGAAAACTCTGGCACTATCTATAAATCTCGTGTTATTCTTCTCAAGAGGTACAGTCTGTGCATCCTTCCATATGTCTTGGTTTGAAGTTGTTGGTAGGGCTTTACTGTATCGACAGAAGCATAACAAATGACCCTATCCTCTACTTTGCAAGTGGAATATGTAGTCTTGTTATAAACACAACTCCCTTTTGTTCCTTTAATTATTGGGCCCATGGTCTGAAGAAGGTGTAGGGGGAAACAGCAGCAACAAAGTAAAAAAAATGTAGCAATACACAGTCTAGAACAGCGGTTCTCAACCTGTGGGTCGGGACCCCATTTGGGGTCGAACGACCATTTCACGGGGGTTGCCAAACAACGCAGTCCACCATTTTTTCCCCTTTTCCTTAGCTGTGCTACTCCCTTTTATTCTATTGGCTTTTGAAAGCCAATAGAATGGACTCTCTTGAATAGAGTCTAATTTTATTGGCTTTCAAAAGCCAATAGGAATTGTCCAGGCTGTCTCTGCCCTGCTGAGCCCGCCAAAAGTCCCATTCTGCAAATGGTGTTGCAAGTTGTCTGCAGCGAAGGTGAGCTGTCTGGAAGTTTCCACCCCTCTCTGCTGAGCAACTACTAAAAATGTAAGTAAAAGAGGGCCAGGGGTGGGAGGCTGGCGGGCACAGGGAGGGTTGCTGGCGCACGTGGGGCCTGGTGGGTGCCTTACCTCCCTTGGGCTGGGCCAGCTGGTGGCCCAGCCCGTGGTCGGCCTGCTCCTGGTCTCTGCCGTTTGCCAGCTACGCCTCGGTGGCCCAGCCTGGTCGGCCTGCTCCATCTCTGCCGTTTGCCAGCTACGCCTCGGCTGGCGTCTCGGCAACACCATGCATGCATGGCGCTCCCGGGCAGGGAAAGTCCTTGACTTATGACTGGTTGGGTAGTCCTCGACTTACAACCAGTTGGGTAGTCCTCGACTTATGACCGGTTGGGGGTCGTGGGATTAAAAAGGTTGAGAACCACTGGTCTAGAATATTACAAACTCAAGTTCCGGGGTAGTCCAGTCCATTGACGTTTTTCTCCTAGTTAGTTGGAAACAGTTCAACAGGTAAGGCAGGTCGAGATTTCATTTTCAGGCCGCCCAGCTGTGGAGCTTGTCACTGGAGAGGGAATGATGGGACTTTCCATGGATTCACGCTTTGATTCCTTCACTCTCACTGCAGTTGAGGTCAGGAGGACCTGGCATGGTTGGGACCACTCAGGACTGGTACTTATAGGTGACAGCTCTTTTCACCTGAACCCACTCTCCAGGAACAATAATGGTCAGAGACAGGTGGCAAGGCAGCCTGGGCCTTTACTGGAATAGAAGACAAAACCTGACCTTTACCTGAATAGAAGACAAACCAGATTATGCAAATACTGAGTAACATTCTTCTCTTTTTCATTGACATTCTTGAACCTTCGTGCAACTCCCCTCCATCATTTCACACAGGACAAGGCAAATTTTCCAGAGTTGAGGCCTGTAATGAAATGGCCTCACCACTAGATGTCACAGCCTGTCCAGCCATTGTATACCAACCACAACATCAGCCTGCCAGACACCTCTGCTCTGCAGGCTGCACAAGAGCAACTTAGAACGTAGAACAATAGCGTCGGAAGGGACCTTGGAGGTCCCTTGCACAGATAAACCCCCAAGTGCCCTGTGCATCTGAGCAACGTGAGGGTTTATTTGTGTATCTGTTTATCTGAGGCAGGGGTAGGCAACCTTGGCTCTTTTATGACTCGAGGACTTCAAATCCCAGAATTCCTGAGCCAGCATGGGGAACTATGGCCCCTTCAACTCCCAGAATTCCTGAGCCAGCATGGGGGAACTATGGCCCCTTCATGACTTGTGGACTTCAACTCCCAGAAGAAGGGGGTGGGACCAGGGCAAGTGCCAAGGCATGGTCCATTGGAGGAGCCTCACTGTTCCTCTCAGGCCATGTGGGGGGGGGCTGGATGGTGGTACGGGCTGCCCAGAGCTCTGGGCAGCAGAGGTCAAATGCCCAGCCTGGCCCTCGAGCACCTGCGACACCAAGTCCAGCCCCACTTCCCCAAGGGGGCACCCAGCTGCACTTATGTCCTCAAGGCTGCTGCTGCTGTGCTTGCTCTCCTTAGCCAGGTTGCTCATGATGGGTATGAGGGCAAAGTCAGAGGGAGACCCATTCCCTCTCCATGGGGGTAGACCTGGCTTTGTATCCAAAGCTTCCTTAGCAATAGGATGGGAGACCCCCAGGATAGGCCAGGAGGAGGGGGCAAGGGGATGGTGAAAAGGGCAGCAGGGCAGAACGAAGGCAGGAATTCCCTCAGACCCTCGCTCTCCTTTCCTTCTTTCCTTCCTTCCTTCCTAAGAACAGAGTGGTGGGAAAATATTTGAGACGAGGGAGGGAGAAAGACAGGCAAGAAAGGCAGCTGGGGAGGTGTCACCCTTTGTGAGGAATGCAGAAATGGACCATCGCCTGGAAGTGGCCAGCACATGGCCCTCACCTACTTCACATATCTGGCTTGGTGGGCTCTGGGGGAGGGGATGCCATGAGCAGTGTGAGAGTCAACATTACCTGCGCAATGCCGCCCAGCCCCCAGCCTGCCCGGTTTTGGCAGGTAGCGAGGCGCTCTCCTCACAGCGCCAAGAGGCTGAGCCAGGTGGCATGAATCCAAAAAGAAGTGTGCTGCCGCCCAGCCCTTGGCAGGCAGTGGGGCGCTCTCCTCACAGTGCTGAGAGGTTGAGCCAGGTGGTGCAAAGCTCAACAGCTTTGCACCTTGCTGCCTGCTGAAACTGGGCAGGCTGGGGGCTAGGCAGCATTGCATTTCTCATCAGATTCGCGCCACCTGGCTCAGCCTCTTGGCACTGTAAGGAGAGTGCCCCGCTGCCTGCCAACCCCCCCCCCCCCCGCCGAGCCCATCGTCGGATATGTGAAATAGGCCAGGGCCATTTGCTGGCCACTTCCAGGCAATGGTGCATTTCTTCATTCCTCACAAAGGGTGACACCTCCCCAGCATGCACCCAGGGGGCGGGGCCAACGCGGCAGGGGCTGGTTCCTCACTGTTTCCAGATGGCCTTGTGGAGCTAAGACTGAATGCCTTTCAGCATAGATGGCCACCACAAAATTGTACTTTGGCTCCCTCCAGCCTGGCCAGGGCCAAGGCAGCGGGGGCCATTCCCTCACTGTTTCCAGGATGGCTTCGCGGGCCACATGAAACCATTTTGCAGGCCGCATCCGGGCCCCGGGCTATAGAATAGAATCGGCAATAGGCAATAGAATAGAATAGAATAGAATAGAATAGAATAGAATAGAATAGAGAGTTGGAAGGGTCCTTGTAGGTCATCTAGTCCACCCTTTAGGACAGAGCAAGCTTGAGCAGAGAGCAAGTTAAGGCAGAACCTCCTACAAAAGGAAAAGGAATAACTGAGAAATCATTTTAAAAGCCACATCAGTGACATCCTATAGTCATTTTAACTTATTTTAGGATGGCCGGCAACGAGGAACAGCACAGATTTTAAAGGGCCGAGGATGTAAGATAACTCCTATTAGCGCTTCCTGACTGGGTTCTTCCGCGCCTTCTGGCCGCTGCAATTTGAAGGTCCTTAGCAGATTGGTAAAGAAAAGGAAAGATTCCATCCTGGCTAAGATTTCCCCCACACAAAAACGAGCCCCTGCAAAGGAAATGTTAGAAAAAACAGAAAGGGGAGAATAATATCCATCACGGAGAGGGCAGCCCTGGCATCTATCACGGGGAAAGACACCGAAGACTAAAATAAATTAAAAAATACAAGGTGGACCTGGAGAGAAGGAGCAACCCCCCCCCTACATTTTAGGGGTCTTAACTTGCTCTCTGCTCTCTTTTCCTGTGCCAGTTTTGCAAATTTTGAATTTCCCTTTTTTGTAAATTCCTTTTTTGAGCAAGTGATTCCACCTTACAACTAATGAGAGCTGATTCAGGTTTATATAGAAAAGGTGGAATTACAAAATGTGTTAGTTTGTTGCTTGTAAGAATATTAAATCGTTATGGGTACGTACAACAGATCATTTAGTGACCGTTTGAAGTTACAACGGCACTGTTTTTCACATATATGACCCTTGCAGTATCCCCACAATCAAAAGTCCACGCTTGGTAACTAACTCATATTTATGATGGTCTCAGTGTCCTTTGGGGCCACATGATCCCCTTTTGTGACCTTCTGACAAGCCAAGTCAAGGGGGGAAGCTGGATTCACTTAATAACTGTGTGACTAACTTAACGACTGAGGTGATTCACTTAACAGCTGTGGCAAGAAAGGTCAAAAAATGGGTGAAAAATTCACTTAACAATTGTCTTGCTTAGCCACAGAGATTTTGGGCTCAGTAGTGGTCGTAAGTCGAGGACAACCTGCACAGATCTTTGGGGAGGGAAACATACAGCACATACAAAACAAAAGAACGTGTAAATCAACAATAAAGTGACGTACAGAGAATTCTCGACTTACAATCACTGCTGAGCCCAAAGTTTCCGTTGCTAAGTGAGACATTTGTCAAGGGAGCTTTGCCCCATTTTATGACCTTTCTTGTCACAGCTGTTCTGTGAATCACTGCACTGGTTAGACACGGTTCTTAAGTGAATCTGGCTTGCCTGTTGTCAGAAAGTAACAATAGGAGATCACGTGACCCCAGGACACTGTGACATAAATGTGAGTCAGTTGCCAAACATCCGAATTTTGATCACGTAACCCTGGGGATGCTGCAAGGTCATAAGTCACTTTTTTCAGTGCCGTTGTAACTTTGAGCAGTCACTAAATCGACTGTTGTAAGCCAAGGACTATCTATAGTCATTAGGATTGGACAAAATGGAGCCTTGGAGATCCACATCGCTTAACTGACACGAGACAAGCAATCACTAGCAACCAGGATCAGCTATCCTGTTAGGAACAAAACCGTATAATACTGTGACTCCATTTTCAATCTCTGATCTTATCCAGAATTAACTCTAGTAGATTATTCTAGCAGCTGCTGAGAGATATCCCACAGTACAACCAAGAATGCTGTACATTTCCCCCCCCAAAAAAAATCGAGGTACAGCTAAGTAAGACAGAGTAAGATAAAAGTAGTGGCAATGAAGAAGGCCATTGTTATGCTAAGGAGTTTCATGACATATTTTGATTTCCCCTTCATGTTAAGAAAAGTAATAATAATAATACTGTGCAATGATCAATAATAATAATAATAATTATTATTATTATTCAAAACAACTGGAGCACCACTTGAACACCATTGGCATTGACAAATTCGCTATTAGTCAATTGCAAAAGATGGCCTTACTAGGAACTGCTTCCATCCTGCAACGAGATCTGTAATACCATCAAACATCCACATCTGCCTATCCCAGGTCCTGGGTAAGGACTCGATAGGTAGACAAAATGCCAGATCCAGTCTGACCATCTGGCTGACTGTGCGATGATCCATAATAATAATAATAATAGACTTCAGTATTCAAACAGGCAAGCACGTGCAACATAACACCCCAGACTTAACAATTGTCGATAAGAAAGACAAAAAAGTCTGGATAGTGGACATGGCAGTGCCTGGAGACAGCAGAATAGACGAGAAAGAACTGGAGAAGATAACAAAATACAAAGACCTACAAATAGAAATAGAAAGACTGTGGCAAAAGCAAGCAAGGGTAGTACCAATAGTGATAGGCTCCTTGGGTGCAATCCACAACTGGAGCATTGAACACCATGATTACAATTGCATTAGTCAATTGCAAAAGGCGGCCTTACTAGGAACTGCTTCCATCCTGCATATCTGTAATACCATCAAACATCCACATCTGCCTATCCCAGGTCCTGGGTAAAGACTCGATAGGTAGACAAAATGCCAAATCCAGTCTGAACATCTGGCTGACTGTGCGATGATCGATAATAATACCTGACTGACACCTACAATGCTGGTAGCAACCCGTGTGAACCATCAGCGCCAGCCAATTTGAATGTTCAGTTGACTGAGGTTCATGTCTAATGAATAATAAAGTTGGAAGGGACCTTGGAGGTCATCTAATCCAACCCCCTGCTCAGGCAGGAAACCCTATACCATTTCAGTCAAATCTTAAAAACTTCCAGTGTTGGAGCATTCACAAGTTGTGGTGGCAAGTTGTTCCACTGATTATTTGTTCTAACTGTCAGGAAATTTCTCCTTAGTTCTAGGTTGCTTCTCTCCTTGGTTAGCCTAGAAATTCAGAGCTCATTCTGAACTAGCTTGCTTGTTGAACCAAGGAGAGAGGGGCAGGGGAATATTCACACAGCTTCAACACTTTTCCCACTGTGAAAATCTCAGATATTTGATTTCCATCTCAGAGTCCGGTGCCACCCGGTTGAATTCAGGTCCTGAGGTCTCCTGACCATAACGGGGCCAGGTTTCGATACTGGGGTTGTTATTTGTTGGGCCCTTCAAATAACAACCCCATTGGGGCATCGCAGATGCTATTATTCAGGAGCTTCTGAAAGCCTGTGAGGAATTTGTGAATTATCTTGCTGGGTCTGTATGCCTTTTATGTGATGCTTTTCAATCTGTTTGCTTGAGCCGAGACTGAAAATCCTTTTATTTACTGGCTGTTTACTGTCTTTGAATAAAAAAATAAAATTCAATCACCTGGACACCTGATCTCGGCCCTGACATTGGCAAAAGATCACTTTTTAAAATCAAACAGGGCAAAGTGCTTTAACTGCAGGTTATTCACTTCTGGATTTTGGCACTGGATGAAAGACAGATGTGCAGGAGTGTCCGACCTTTTGGCTTACATGGTGGGCAGCCCTGAGAGAAGAGGAATTTTTTAGGGCCAGATATAAAATATACAATACAGATACAGGTAGTCCTCAACTTACAACAGTTCTTTCCAAGTTAGAAAGGCAATGAAAAAATTGACTGATGACCTTTTTTCAAGTTACGATCTTTCCAGCATTCCCGTGGCTATGGGATCAAAATTCAGAGGCTTGACAACCGATTCATATTTATGACGGTTGCAGTGCCTTGGGGTCAAGTGATCCCCTTTTGCGACCTTCTGACAAGCAAAATCCATGGGGGGAAACCAGATTCACTTAACAACCATATTACTAACTTAACAACTGCAGTGGTTTGCTTAACAACGGTGGCAAGAAAGGTCGTAAAATGGGGCAAAATTCACTTAACAAATGTCTCGCTTAGTCACAGAAACGTTGGGCTCAACTGCGGTTGCAAGACAAGGACTTCCTGCAATGTACATAAATAACAAACTATTATTTTTTTTTAAAAAAATTATTACAATTTTGTGGGGCTGCATTAGTAGCTCCCCAGCCCAGAGGCCACAAGTTGGACAAGCTTGCTTTAGACCAGGGGTGTCAAACTCGCCATGTCACGTGATGTGTCACGACGTATTGAGACTTTTTTTTGCATTGCCGGAGCTGGGATGGGCGCGTCCTCCGTATGATGCAACTTGACACCCCTGGCAGTTTGACAGCCCTGCTCTGCAACCTTTCCTGCTTGGTGGCCTGGTGGAAGCAGAGCGGGGGAAAGGGATGGTTTTGTGTATGTGCGTGTGCCGTCCTCACGAATGCACGTCGTGCACATACTCATGCACACCTCGCCCACCACTTCTGCAGCCCAGTTCTGCAGCCCAGCACTGGTCCGCAGACTGGGTGTTGGGCAGTAGTGGGATTCAAATATCTGAACATCCGGTTCTTTGGGTGGATGCAGGCCTGGGCCTCTGAGGCCTAGAACGGACTTCCAGTGGTGGGATTCAGCCGGTTCTCCAAACTCAACAAAATTTAGCTACTGTTTCTACAGAACTAGTGCGAACCGGCTGAATCCCACCACTGCTATTGGGGACCCCTGTTCTAGACCCTTTTCTTGGAAAATCCAGTTTCTGACAGAGAAGGGCATTGCCAGAGATCTCATCTGCTCTAAAAGAGAGGTCAGAAACTGGATTTCAAAAGAGCACAAAAGGAAGCGATCCAAACCTGCTCCCAGATTTATTTATTTATTTGCTTTCAAAATTGCTGGAGGCCTCATCAAGGATGTCCCACCATTTTCTCTTCAATCCTCTTTCTTTCTTAACTTTGTTTCTTGTATCTTACGCTTGATATTGTTTTATTTAGTGTCCTAGTATGATTTATGTAGTTTGCTTATTTAATATCCTATGACTATCGCTAAGTGTTGTATCTTATGATTTACGATCAATGTATTTTTTATGATGACTAGGATCATGATTTATCACTTATTGCTTTTATGTACACTGAGAGCTTATGCACCTGAGACAAATTCCTTGTGTGTCCAATCACATTTGGCCAATAAAGAATTCTATTCTATTCTATTCTATTCTATTCTATTCTATTCTATTCTATTCTATTCTATTCTATTCTATTCTATTCTATTCTAATTTCTATATTCTATTCTATTCTGTTCTTATTTCTATAATTATATTCTATTTCTCTATTCTGTTATTTCTATATTCTATAATCTATTCTATTCTATTCCTCTGTTCTATTCTATTCTATTCTATTCTATTCTATTCTATTCTATTCTATTCTATTCTATTCCATATTTTCTATTCTATTCTATTCTATTCTATTCTATTCTATTCTATTCTATTCTATTCTATTCTATTCTATTCTATTCTATTCTATTCTATTCTATTCTATCCCATACCATACCATACCATACCATACCATACCATACCATACCATACCATACCATACCATATGGTAGCCAGTCCCTAACCACTAGGAAAATGATTCAGAGTTTACCTGCTCCAAATGGCACAAATTCTTCTCTCTTCATAAAATTCCCATCCTTGTCTAAAAAATGATTTGGATTGAATTCTTCAGGCTTCTCCCATTGCTTGGGATCATGAAGAACTGAATAGAGATCCATGAGAATGAAAGTTCCCTGAAGGGAAGACAATTGTCAATGGATGAGTCAACCGCATTTAGTCTTTGGCTAATATTACACTTGTCAACGCTGCTAACATCGGATGTTCTTGCTTTGACAACATATGGAAATGCAGCCATTTTCCTTTACTTTATGTTTTACTCATAGAGTTAGAATTAGATGTTACTGGGGGGGAGGGGAAGGAATGTGCATGGGAGATTAGTTAGACAAAACTAGTTAGACTGTATAAGGGTGAGAACCAAGGCTGTTTGTAATAAGAAATGATAAGACATGGCGGGATGAAGAACTGGCGGGAAAGCCACCATTTCAAACTAATTGGAGAATGTGATGTATGACAGTTAGTTAGAGGAGGGAATTGTGCTTTGATACGATGTGCTTAGGGGAGGGGAAGTCAGATTTTGGCTTGGACTATGTACATGGAACGAAGCCATCTGGATCTCTCTTACCTCTGGAATAAAAAGGCCACATGTGTTTACATTTGTCACCGTTTGCCTGGGAACGCTAAACAATAAGATGTATTTTAAACGTAGAATTTCCTGAACCACAGCGTGAGTGAAAGGCAACTTCCACCGATCTTCATAACAGATTGAGTCACAGAAACCCAAAACAGTTTCCATTTCTTTGTAGACTTTATCTGAGTGAAATATGAGAAAAGGGTATTATTTGTATTTGAGCTCAAATAAACCACTCTATTGTAGAGGGTGTTAAGGGAGATCCTTTATGACTGCATAATGTTACCACGGTTAGTCCTCAAATTTAGTATTTGACTAATATTACACTAATCTTAGGTGACAATTCAACGCTGCTTCTCTGCCCAAAATTTCTGCTAAGTGAGTCATTTGTAAAGTGAGTTTTGCCCCATTTTGCAATCTTTTTTGCCACAAGTATTAAGCGAATCACTGCAGTTGTTAAGTTAGTAACTTGGTTGTAAAGTGAATCCGGCTTCCCCATTGACTTTGCTTGTCAGAAGGTCGTAAAAAGGGATCACATGACCCCAGGATCCTGCAACGGTCATAAATATGAGTCAGTTGCCAAAGGTCTGAATTTTGATCACATGACCATGGGGATGCCACAATGGTCATAAATATGAAAAATGGTCATAAGTCACCTTCTGAGATCCGCTTTACAAGAAGGTTGATCCAGGGATTCACTTTCCATTTTGTGTGTGATAAAAATAGCATGGAATATTTTCTTTAGGACTTAACATTTCGTAGCTCTATTCTCTCAAAACTTCTTTAAGCCTTCATGCATGACAACTGTTTTGTTCTCAAAAGAGTAAAATAGAAACCCAGAGGGTCTACAGTAAAGAGGGACAAGGATAATATTCAATGCATTATCTTATGGTAGTTAACACATTTAACTATTACCAAGATAAATGAACTGAAGACAGCAAATTAACAAAAAGATCCATATGAACAGTACATTTTCTAGAATTAATTCATTTCATTTAGTCAGAAAGATGTTGTAACATAATGCATCATGTGTGTGTCCCAGCTTCAGTTTTTTGTGTTATTTCAATCTTTCTGATCAATCTGGCGTTATTCAAAAGCAAATTAATGTTTTACATAACTTGGCTTCAGATTTAAAAATTGATACCTTAGGAAATTGGTGGAGTGCTCTATGGTCATGGCTTCCCATTGGCCTTCTTGGGAAGATTGTTCAATATCTCATTATAATAGTTGCTATCCTTATCAGCTGTTGTTGTTTATTTCAATGTCTTTTTTCTTTACTTAATAAGATGTCTTGCAATCTTCCATACTAAGCTAAGACCCACTAACTACTCCTGCTTGAAATGTCTTCATTAATAAAATAGAAAAAGGTGGAATGTGGAGGAATTTGCACGTGCAGCAAACTGCCATGCTTTCCCCCCCACAAACCTCATAACCTTTTGATACCCTTTGTCCCAAGGAAGCAGCCAAAAGATCACCCCCTTTTGACTTAATATCTTACCTACCTAAATAATAAGTTCCCCCTTATCTCTTCCTGTCTTTATCTCTTCTTGTCTTTATCAGTTCTTTCTCCTTTTCTAATTTACCTGTATTTGTTTTACCTGCTCTCAACAGGTAATGTGTTACTAGAAAATAATTGCTTATATGAAGGAATTTTTCAATTACTTTATGTCAACAACTAAAGGTTAAACTTCTAAATGTAAAATGTCAGCAGTTAATGGTAAAGCCTATGTATGTAAAAAGTATATAAAAAACAATAAACTCAGAGTTGGAGAAGCTGTGTGAAGCTGTGTCATGCAGCTTCAAAACCTCTGCTCAAGACATGCCTGAGTCTTTTTCTTAGCATCGTTACAAATGGCGCCTGAACAGGGACATCCCCTTCCGAGGGAAAGCAGCAACCAACATATTTACAGTCGTCTGGAACAAACTCCTTGGTGCACCTTCTCGTCTTCTCGTCCTGCGAGATTTCTCAAACTGTAAGTATGGGCTGCGATATATCTCACCATCAGCAAAAGCATGTAAGGGAGTTAAAGTTTCTCTTACACAAATCGGGCATGACCATGCCTGAAAGGGAGCTTAGGAAGCTGGTGAGTGAGATAGGAAAAAACTGTCCTTGGTATCCTGAAAGGGGGACACTCCAACTTAAGGATTGGGAAAGAATAGGTAACACCCTTCATCAGGAACCCCGAGCCTCAGTGGATGTTTTGCATTGTTGGCATCAATGTCGCCATGCAGTGGAAAAATATGGAGCTGATGCAGTACAATTAAGTTCTACTCCCTCTCCAGGTTTTAATCATGAAAAGGTTTCAGTTCCATCAACTCCTATATCTTCCACGATAGATGTAACACCTTCAGAGCAAAAGAACTCTAGATCTTATGTTTCTATTCGCCATGTATTAGAAAATCAAATGGCGAAAGGAGAGGGAGATATGCAGGAAATAGCAGATATGCTCTCAGTTTGTCCTGTACATTTGACTGGGCAGGTAGATGAGAATGGAGCCCCAAAATCGACCATTTTCTTATGCAATCTTAACAGAATTGCGTAAGGGTATAAGAGATACTGGGTTAGGTAGTTCATATGTGCAAGGTATGTTAGAAGCAACAATGAGGAATCATATTTTGGTGCCAGAAGATTGGAAAACAACAATTCGTATGTTATTAACACCAGCTCAGTATGTGGTATGGGATAGTGAGTTTAGACATCAATGTGCATTAAGAGCAGCAACTTCTGGAGGTGCTTACCTCCCAGAGCAGTTATATGGCTCTGGTGATTACACTCCAGTGGATGCACAAATTGTTTTGCCTATAGCTACTCTTCAAATATCCTCTGAATGTGCTTACAAAGCTTTTGGAAAAGTTCCTATAACTGGGAAACCATCTCAAGCATTTTCAAATATTCATCAAAAGGCAAATGAACCATATGCAGATTTTATTAACCGTCTGCAAGATGCCTTGAGACGACAAATTGATAATCCTGATGCCCAAGCTGAATTGCTTATGAAATTGGCTAAAGAAAATGCCACCTCTGAATGTAAATGGGCCATTATTGGATTGGGAGCTCAACCAGATTTAGCAGAAATGATAAAAGCATGTCAGGATATTGGGACTGTTTCTTTTCAAACTAATCTCTTAGCTGCAGCTCTTACAAAACCTCAGGGGAAATGTTATAATTGTGGTAAAATTGGACACTTTAAACAGGATTGCAGAAATCCTGGGGGAGGAAAGTATGCCTCCCGACCATTTAAAAATAATGCTGGGAGATGTCCAAAAACAAAATGCCCTAAGTGTAATAAGGGATTTCATTGGGCTAATGAATGTAGGTCGGGAAACTTCAAAGCGGGCCGGTCTCTGGCCCCGGTCCAAACAGAGACCCTTCAGTAATTCCATCAACAATTAACAATAGCCCTGCTGCCACTAGAGGGAGTGCTGGGATAGATTTAACTATCCAACAAGACGTATGTTTCAAATTTCCAGGAGAAGTACAAATTATTCCTTCACAACTTTCTGGACCTCTCCCTTCTGGATATGTTGGATTAATTTTGCCTCGCTCTAGCATGGGAAAAAAGGGATTTTTTGTAATACCTGGAGTAATTGATTCTGACTATACAGGTGTCATCTTTATTCAATTATGGACTAACATGCCACAGACTTTGCCAAGTAATACTAGTCCTGCACAATTACTCCATTTGCCCTATTTTGTCCCTGCAGGGGGTCGTGATAGGGATCGAGGAGACGGCAGGTTTGGTTCCACAGATCCTGTTGTAATTGCACTAACCACCCCAATCACCACCCAGCGACCCCGTCAGACAGTCTTTTTTCAGGGTAAGCCTTTTGAGGGCATAATTGATACAGGGGCTGATGTTTCAGTAATTTCAGCTAAAGATTGGCCTGCATCATCATCCTTTCATTTTTATCACACACACACACATACACACATATAACTAATTGTTATTAAAAAAATTAATGATACAAACAATACAACTGTTGAAAAGGAAGCAAAATAAGGAAAATAATAGTAAGTGAAAAAGAAAAGAAAAAGTTATAAACTTTCTTTATAACTTTTTCATTTTTATTACACTTCAAAAAGAGATAGCAACTCATATCTTGGATTATTATTTAAAATCAGGAGAATAACTTTCTTTTCAGTTATGTGGGATTATACCTTTTGTTGTATTCAGAGTTCCATAAATGAAAGCATAAGAAGATAAATCCGATATAATTATTAGACTCAAATCCAATAATTCAATTTCACATTGCGATCCGTAAGAATTCTTTCTGACATTATATTAAGATTCAAGTTGAAATCCACAACATAATATGACCAACCATATGAATTTTAAAAACCTGCAAATTTCTTACATTATCAACACAAGATTTTTTGATGCCTATCTTTTTAAAAGAATTCTGCAAGGAGTCCAGTTAACCCAGGAAATATTGTCTGATGGATTAGTTCCTTTCCTAATATATTTCACATTTTTAAAATTCCTGGACTCATCCATTTTCCAGAGGTGATACTTATTTGCTTACCAAACGAGCCCAAGGATTAAAATAATCACAATATGTTTCATTTCAGGAAAACATAGATATTCAGATAAAGGCCCAATAGTATAATCAAAAAAGTAGTTGGCTATATTCTCATAACATCAGCAATTTGATATTCTAAGGTCTTTAGCCTCCCAGAACAACATTCTCATTAAATGAGATATTTCCGTGAATTCACACTGGCATCACTCTTAAAATATTTATTAGTCTGGATTCCTGGATTATTGTTGTTTCATATTGTATATTACACCACAGTTTTTTTAACACACCACTGTCAGATGTTTATGCTCCTGTGTTATTACAAGAAGAAAATAAGAAAAAGTCTGCGATAATTTATATTTTAAACAACAAAAAGCACTTGGGGTGTGTGTGAAGTTTCCTTCTCCAAGCTTGTGGGTTGGTTTCCGAACATTTCCTTACCAGGCTAGGTAACGTCATCAGTGGAGTTTAGGGGATGTCAATGTTCTGTTTATAAGGGCTTCAGGTGTGGGTGTGTCAAGTGAGGGTCTTGTGATGGGTCACGTGTGAGTCATCAGTGAGGGGCTAGTGATGGGTCTTGTGATGGAGAGCTTACATCAGGTGAGGGTCCTTGGGAGGTGAAGTGCTGGTTATGGGGGATTGCATGGGATGGTTGAGGGTCAGTGCCGTCCCTGGTGGGCTATGTGGTGGACTTGGATCCTGAGGGATGTATAGGCTGATTGTAGATCGATGTGTCTGTGAATGGAATTGCTTGTGGGGTGCCAGGTTTTGACAAACTCACGAGCATGGCAGGGGTAGTATGGCCAATGAGTGTTACTCCAATCAAACTGGTGCTGTTTGGTGTTGGTGTAGGTAGAGATTAAGGATTTGGGATCGTGGTGTTTGACTGTTAGAAAAAGACTTTTTATTCAAGCTCCAGGTCTAATCTAAGATCAGCTGGATGATTGTCACCATGTATGACTTTCTTAAATAGTACTGAGAAAACAAGATGCATAAGATCCTCCTATAATCATAAAGAGCTGGGGTGGCACAGTGGTTAGAATGCAGTTACTGCAGGCTACTTTTGCTGATGGCCAGCTGCCAGCAGTTTGGCAGTTCGATTCTCAGTGGCTCAAGGTTGACTCAGCCTTCCATCCTTCCGAGGTTGATAAAATGAGGAACAGATTGTTGGCGGCAATAGGCTGACCCTGTAAACCGCTTAGAGAATGCTGTAGAGCAGTGTGAAGTGGTATGTAAGTCTAAGTGCTACTGCTATCATCTCATCAAGAACTTTAGAAAAATGGGAGGGGAGATCTAGAATTGGGGATTTCCATGGCAGATGTAATGATGGATCTTTCAGGGTGAAGTTGGGCACAGGGGACATTCATCTCTATAATGATTTATTCAGTCTTATTTCCTAGATGAGCCAGAACTACCTTATTTTCTCACCTTGGATATCTGGATATACCACCATGAGGAACAAAGCCCATTGCAGAAAACTTGCTGTTGTTTCTGTCCCGGCAAAAAACAATTCCAGAATGCTCTGAGTCATGTTTCCATTATCAAAAGTAGAGTTGGGTTCACTGTGTTTCTAACAAAAGGGGAGATTTTAGTTAGAATTATTTATTACCGTATATTCCGGCGTATAAGACGACTGGGCATATAAGATGGCCCCCAACTTTTGAGAAGATTTTCAGGGTTTAGAAAGTCGTCTTATACGCCGAAAAATACGGTACAATATTGAATTTCTGTTTATAGATGAGCACAATAGGAGCGCCATTCCTTTGCTGCTAGAAAGCGACTGTTGCCCACCACTGCTTCCCTAATGCTTCCTGAACTCAGCTGGTATTTTTTCCCCATAAATTTTATTGATTTTTTAAAACATAAATCACTTAATAGTTGGTAAACAGTGTGTTTGCTAGGTTTACATTTGTAAAGAAAAATCATTAACAATTGGTTTCTATAATCTATAATCCACATAGTACATTTAGTTGATTTCCCCTTTTCCCCAAAATGTCTTCTTTGCAAACCTTGAAATAATATAGTCCTTATTATTTTGATAAAATATATTTAATCTTTAAATATTCCATTTAATGTACCTAGTCATCTAATCCTTTAGGTCTTATTCAAAACATTTTTTTCTTTTTTATACATTATAATTTCCCTAAATTCAGACACATTTAATTATCTAAAACATTTCCTTCATCTAGGCCAGTGTTTCTCAACCTTGACAATTTTAAGGCATGTGGACCTCAACTCCCAGAATTCCACAGCCAGCAATGCTGGTTGTGGAATTCTGGGAGTTGAAGTCCACATGCCTTAAAATTATCAAGGTTGAGAAACACTGATCTAGGCCATTTCAGCAGTATTATATTACTTATATCAAGAAATAAAATAAAAGGGAGGGAAAGCATACAGTATTATTTAAGGAATTCATCTCTCTTAGAATGACATATGTATTCAGAATCTTTTCTGTTTCTTTAACCATATTCAAATAAATGTTTCTTTTTTAAATATTCTCTCTGGTAGATCCCATCATCTATTTTCTTAATTTTCATTTTGATCTTTTTCCTTTGACCAGTATCTTTCTTAATCAATGTGATTTGCTGAATCAAAAGGTTTTTCCATATATTCATGACTGCTGCTATAGGTATAAGAAATAAATCGAATGTTTCTTTTTTTTTGTAGATGTAATGTCCTTAATTTATATAGCTTACTGTTTTCTACTATTTAATTGCTTTTCCTGAGAAAGAATAAAGTGATGGGCGATGTAGAAAAATGGGATTTTTGTATGCTTTGTCCTGTTAGTGCTTATTTCTGTAAAAAAAAATAGGGCTGGCCACTAGGGGACAGTTTGGTTTTAAATTCAGAGAACAGCTACCCGTATATTCCGGCGTATAAGATGACCCCCGACTTTTGAGAAGATTTTCAGGGTTTAGAAAGTCGTCTTATACACCGGAAAATACGGTACTTGGGTACCTTCGAGTTAGTCTTGGTGACTTCTTGATAAGTCCCTGCAGATTTCTTGGCAAGATTTCAGAAGTGGTTTGCCATTGCCTGCTTCCTAGATCTGAAACAGAACAGCTGGCCCGAAATCACCCAGCTGGCTTTGTGTCTAAAGTGGGACTTACCGTTTCCTGGTTTCTAATCTTACACTTTAACCACTGCACTGATCTGACTCTTTTAATTAGAATTTGGTACATGCAAAATCTTTTTTTTTTCAAGGAATGGAACATTTCAAAGAAGGAATACTGCATCCAGTTTTGGTCACCCACAAAGAAGAGGGAGTCAAGCTATTCTCCAAGGCACCTGAAGGCAGGACAAGAAGCAATGGATGGAAACTGATCAAGGAGAGAAGCAACCTAGAACTAAGGAGAAACGTCCTGACAGTTAGAACAATTAACCAATGGAAGGAACAACCTTCCTCCAGAAGGGTGAATGCTCCAACACTGGAAGTTTTTAAGAAGAGACTGGACAGCACTTTGTCCGAAATGGTATAGGGCTTCCTACCTGAGCAGAGGGTTGAACTAGATGACCTCCAAGGTCCCTTCCAACTTTATTATTATTATTATTATTAGTCTGGAACTTTCCACTTTTTCTCTGAACCTTACTGATCTGGCTGTTGTGATCCAAAATAAAGTCTAATTTTCTTGAAGTGAGTCTTCTACACTAGAAGTAGCTCATGGTGTTCAATATGACAAAGGATTGTTATTTCAGCAGTGAAACCCATGTGGCACACCAAGAATTACTTCCAGATGAAAGATTAATTTCAGGAAATCACTGAAGCAGGTTAGCGTGGAAGTGGAGAAGACGTAGAATGTTCTGGAATTCTCTGTAATGTTCCATTCTCAGACAGAATATGTATTTAACATACACAGGTCACACTGAAGATTGTCTGATCGTTGTGCTACCCTCATGTCATGACATTAAACAGCTGTTTCTGGGTGTTTTGAATATTTGGTTCTTATCTTTTAATTAATTTACAACAAGAAGCCATGAGACCAAAGTAATTTCAATTGATCATATGCGTTAAGACTTTTAATAAAGATTTATAAACAGATCACCCTTGAATTTGAAAAGTTTCTAGTTTAGAACACCCCCAGTTTAGCTCTGACTGGATTATTCTCAAAGGCTCAAAAAAAAAAACCCTCTTGACATGCCTGTGTATCCCAGCAGGCATGACTAAAATTTCCAAAGGGATCTTTACTGTTGGAATATTCATGAACAGGAAGAGTCATGTGGTAACTCAGTCAGCCAATGTGAAGTAAGTGCTACTGAGTCTGTGCAAAAGAGTATTGAGTTAGGAGCTGGATTTCCAGTCTCAAGGTTTTGTCTCTGGTCTGTCTCTGTAAGAAGCCTTCATTATGTTGCTGTAAAGAAGAATGGTATTGTAAATATTTTTATATAAATATAAAGTTATTTGAATCAGCTAAATGCAGTCAACTGTGAGAGCTTCTGATTTATTTTTTCACCAATAGAGAAATTAAAATTCTCTAACAGGTTATGGGCCCAGAGCTTACTAAGGATTGCATTGTAATTTAAAGCTGGAAGAAATTGCCTGTGTTTAGAAAGTATAAGAACAAGGCAGAATTAGCAGAATGGCTGCAATGGAATTTAAAGAAAGCTGTGTGCCTCGTTTGGGCCAGAAAAATTACATTGTGTGGGCTGCAAAAATGGAATGTTTGCTGAAAGCAAAAGAGCTGTGGTATATTGTTGAAAATCCACCACAAGTACTTGCAGCTGCAGATAAGAAAAGCCATGATCAAGCAATGGCTTATCTCATCTTGAATTTAGATGATGCACAATTTCTAAATGTTGCAAATTTAAAGATTGCAAAGGAGATTTGGTTGAAGTTGAGAGCTGCGCATGTGAATGTTTCTGCATGCAATATAGTACAATTGTCAAGAAAACTTTACAGGGCCTGTTTGCAACCAGGTGAATCTGTGGAACAGCATTTAAATAAAATGCAAAGTTTATTTTTGCACTTAAAACAACATGGGATTAAATTCCCTGAGTCCCAGAAGGTTTTATTGGTGTTGAACAGTTTAGATAAAACCTGAGACACAGTTTCTGCCATATTTGAGTGTAAAGAAGAGCAACACTTAAATTTTGAGGCTTTAAAGGCATGTTTGCTTAATGAAGAAGAAAAACGCCATTTTAGGAACAGCCACGAGGAGGAGAAATTCCTGAGGAGGGGGTCCAGACTACAAGTCTCCAGAGGAGAAGAAACAAGCAGATCAGACCCAGACCAAATTGCAACAAAAGAGAGATTTGCAAGCAGAGAGCTTTGCAAGGAAAGAATTGCTACATTTGTGGAGCGAAGACACATTTGCAAAGGAACTGTTTGCAGAGGAACTGTTTGCAGCAAAGGACATTTGTGCAACCAAAAAGGACTGCTTTGCAAAAGGAACATTTTGGTGTTGCAAAAGTTTGCTATAACAACAACAGAGACAAGTGGCTAATCGATAGTGGGGCAAGTTAAACAATTGTTAATGACTCTGAATTATTTTGCAGGTTTGTTCCAGTAGCACAAGAAGCTGTGGCTTTGGCAAATGGCCAGAAAGCAAAAGTCATTGGAAGAGGCGATGTAAAAATTCCATATTTGGAATCAAAGTTTACCAATGTGCTTTGTGTACCTGAGATGGAACATAATTTGTTAAGTGTGTCTAATTTAGACAAACAAGGTTTTGAGGTCATTTTTGTAAATGGGAAATGTCTCATCAAAAGGAATGGGAATATTTGTGCAGAAGGCATAAAGGAAGATAATCTATATGTATTGCAGGGACAAAAGGTTCAATGTTCCCATATATTTAAGAATGTTGCAGAGCATGATTCATGTGTTCATCTTCTACATAGAAGACTTGGCCATGCAAGCTTTAAAGTTTTGCAGCAAATGCAAGATTTTGCAGAAGGGCTAAATTTGAAGGGATGCAAAACATATTTGGACTGTGCAGTATGCAAAGCATCAAAGTCAAAGGCATTCCCAGTTAGTAAATATAGCACAAGACAAACAAAAAGAGTTCTAGAGCTGGTCCATGCAGATCTGGTGGGACCTATGCAAGCCAGTTTGGGAGGAGCAAAATATGCACTGGTAATTGTTGATGATTATAGCAGGTATTCGTTTTGCTACTTGCTTAGAGATAAGACAGAGGTGCTACAACAATTCAAACAGTGGGTAAGTTTTGTAGAGAGACGGTACAGACAACAAGTGTGTCAGTTGCAAACTGACAGAGGTACTGAATTTATGTCAACTAAATTCCAACAATGGTTGGGGCAGTTGGGGATAAGACACAGACGTACAAATCCTTACACAGCAGCAGAGAATGGTGTAGCTGAAAGAAGGAATAGTGTTTTGCAAACAATGAAAGAATCATTATTGGAGGATTCTGGTTTGAGCAGGTCATATTGGGGAGAAGCCATATTGACTGCCAATTATATAGTTAATAGGCTGTGGAGTTCCTCCATTAATAATACTCCATATGCCATTCTATATGGGAGAAAGCCATCACTGGCACATTTGAGAAATTTTGGAAGTACTGCATGGGTACATATTCCAAAAGCAATCGGAAGAAAGGGACAGCAAAAGGCAAGAAAGCTCAGGTTTGTGGGCTATGAGCCAGGGTCAAAAGGATATCGCTTTAGCGATGGAAGTAAAAGAATTATAATTTCAAGGTCTGCTAATTTTGCAGAACAAAATTGGGACAGAATTAATGCAAATTCTGGGTATGTCTCACTTAATGACAGTGATCTGTTTAGTGACAATAACTCATCTAATGAAGGAAAAATGATTATAGAAGATGTCAATGTTCAGGGAGGAGAGGCTGAACAAGACATGAAACCAGAAAGAATTGAGACACAGGAGCAGTTAATACCACGTAGGTCAGAGCGATGTAATAAAGGAATTCCACCTGACAGGTATTCTGCCAGCAAGGTAAAGGTTTGCAATGTGTGGTATGAGCCAAGAAGTTATAAAGAGGTGTTGGCATTACCAAAAGCTGAACAAGAAAAATGGAAGGAGGCCATGGATAAAGAGATGAAATCCATGGGAGACCATGAAGTATTTAAATCAGTGACTTTGCCACAGGGAACCAAAGCTGTGGGTTGTAAGTGGGTATATAAGAAAAAGGTATTGCCAAATAATGATATACAGTATAAGGCCAGGTTAGTGGCACAAGGTTTTTCACAATTACCGTATATGCCGCCGTATTAGGCGACCCGGCGTATAAGACGACCCCCGTCTTTATAGCCGGGCCACATTCCTAGAACATCGTCTTATACGCCGGAAACTACCAGTATTTCCGGCGTATAAGACGACTCGGCGTATAAGACGACCCCCGTCTTTGGCGCCGATTTCAGCGCTCGCGTAAGTCGTCTTATACGCCAGCATTTATGGTAAAGAATGTGCAATACGATGAAGTATTTGTGCCACCTGTGAAAAGTGAGAGTATAAGATTAGCATTGGCGTTGGCAGCGGCATATAAGCATAAAATCTGGCACTTTGATATCACAACTGCATTCCTCAATGCTGAGTTAGAGGAAGAAATTTATATGATCCAAGCACCAGGATATGAAATTGCAAATCCTAACATGGTATATAAATTAAACAAGGCTATTTATGGGCTGAAACAGTCAGCCAGAAATTGGAATATCTGTTTAGATACTGCTTTAAAGGATCTTGGATTTAAAAGTTGCAAAGCTGATAATTATATATATATATTGGACAGTTACAAGGAGGGAATTGTCTACTGTTATCATTTGTGGATGATCTTTATTCATCGCAAAGGATGCATCACAAGTCAAAGAATTTGCTGATAAATTAGGAAAGAAATTTGAATTAAAGAATTTGGGAGAAATAAAAAATTATCTTGGTGTAGAGATACAGAAAAATGAAAAAGGTGGTTATATTCTCAGTCAAAGGAGAAAAATTGAGCAGTTATTGGAGAAATATAATATGAAAGATTACAATACTGCTCCCACACCCATGAGTGCAGATTTTTATAATAGTTTAAGTGCGGACAAAGGTGAAACCTGTGATCAAGAGATATATCACTCGACAATAGGGAGTTTGTAATATCTATCACAGTGGCCCAGACCAGACATAGCTTGCGCAGTAAGCATTTTGAGTCGTTTTACTGTTGCACCTACAAAGTTACATTGGATGGGTGTAAAAAGGGTTCTCGGATATTTACAGGGAACTATAAATTTGGGTCTTCAAATACAGATTACTGAGGAATTGAAATTAAAGTGTTATGTCGATAATGACTATGCAAATGACATAAACACAAGGAAATCAAATTCTGGGATTATAATATTGTTTGGAGGGACTCTGATTGGATGGAAGTCCAGAAAACAAACAACTGTTGCTATTTCAACAGCAGAAGCAGAGTTTATTGCTTTATCTGAATTGTGTTCTGAAGTAACATGGTATGTACAGTTGTTGCAAGATTTAAATATTAATGTAAAAGAATCTGTAAAGGTATTTGAAGACAATGCTGCCTGTATAAAAATGGCAACTGGTGACAGGGTGAAGAACAGAAGTAAACATGTAGACATTAAGTATTGTAATGTCAGGGAAGCTGTAAAAGGAAAATTGATTAGTTTACATCATTGTTCTTCTGAGGATAATTTGGCAGACATGATGACTAAACCATTGGGTAATGTTCACTATGGAAAATGTGTTAAGTCAATAGGTCTGATGTCTCTTCCTGTCATGAAGGGAGGAGTGTTGGAATATTCATGAACAGGAAGAGTCATGTGGTAACTCAGTCAGCCAATGTGAAGAAAGTGCTACTGAGTCTGTGCAAAAGAATATTGAGTTAGGAGCTGGATTTCCAGTCTCAAGTTTTGTCTCTGGTTTGTCTCTGTAAGAAGCCTTCATTAAGCTATGTTGCTGTAAAGAAGAATGGTATTGTAAATATTTTTATATAAATATAAAGTTATTTGAATCAGCTAAATGCAGTCAACTGTGAGAGCTTCTGATTTATTTTTTCACCAATAGAGAAATTAAAATTCTCTAACATTTACCTTTTCTATCTCGAGTAGATACAGATCTAGGAAATCCTTTGGCTGACGCTGGGCCAAATCTTGGCTGTGTTTCTCTGCCTCTTCCTTTATAATTAAGAAACCTTTCTCCATGGACTCTTGTATCTTCTGATGAGGTCCTGGGAGATGTTCCATTAGCCACGGAAACAAATCATTGAGCTACATAGGAGTAAAAACACACTCCTATCATCTCCCTGATGGGTTAGGTAATACAGGTAGTCCTCGACTTATAACTGTTCATTTAGTGACTGTTCAAAGTTGCAACAACACTGAAAAAACTGACTTGTGACCATGGTTCACATGTACAACTGCTGCAGCATCCCCGTGATCACATGATCAAAAGTGAATACTTTCTGAATGCATTGTATGATGGTCGTAGTGTTCCCGGGGGAGGGGGTGTCAGGGGATCCCCTTTTGCAGCCTTCTGAGAAGCAAAGTCAGCGGGAAAAAATGGTGTGACTAACTTAACTGCAGCGATTCACTTAACAACTTGGGCAAGAAAGGTCATAAAATGGGGCAAAACTCATTTAACAACTCTCTCGCTTAACAACAGAAATTTTGGGCTGAATGACGGTCTTCTGTTGAAGACAACCTGTATTAGGGCTTCTCAACCTGGGCTGCGTAACCAAGAAAACTACAAGATGCCAGAAAAACGTTCTTGTCGTGATCCTAATTTTTTTATTCATTACTGCAGAGGTCCCCAATCTTTTGGGCACCAGGGACCGGTTACACGGAGCGAGGTTTTTCCGCGGACCGGAGGGGGCATGGTTTTGTGTGCTTCCTGCATCCCGCGGATGGGGCTTTGCTTATTTGTTCAGCCCAGTTGCTGGTATGCTGCGGTCCAGTACTGGTCCACAGACCGGGGGTTGGGGACCCCTGCAGTACTGTTTTGAATGTTGAATGGCAGAAATAACAGGAACAACCTCTGGGAAGGCAAGGAGTTTGAAAGTAACATATCACACTGACTCGTGTTGTAGTTACACCTACATCCTAGTAGTTTAACTCCTACAATTTGGAAGTAGACTTTAAGGGCCACCCAGATCACTAATTGATCTAGAAGGGCGGTTTCGTCAAGGCTTCACAGAATTTAGGATAGGCTGGTAGCGTTCTCACTGGTAAACTTTTTTCTAACTTCTGTTCAAAATTTGGAACGGATCTCCAAAATCCCTCAGTTCTGACTTTGGCCATAATATCTTTCTGAGAATAAGAGAATAAGTGTTCCTTCTGAAACTCTGCTTTATGTCTTCTTAGAACTCTTTCTTTATTTTCCTATGCCGGTCTTTCTATGCTCTTTTTTCCTCAGGAGTTTAAGTGAACATCCCTAGCAGTCCCTCCTCCCGTTTTCCCCCACACTAACCAACCAACCAGAGGCTGAACTCAAATCCTCCAATGAGCTTCCATATAGCATCAGAAGGTGAACTTCAATCTGCTCTTCTTGAAGTTCAACCTAAGTACAATACCGTAACCTTCCACCCCCATTCTCTTGTCACAAAACAGAGAAATTTCTACGTGGTTTCCAAAACATCTTCCCATTGTAACCCTACATCCAATGTTTAGTAGCAAAGGACGAAAGGCCTCTGAAAAGCAGCTCTGAATCTCTGGCTGACACCTTAACTGGCCTATGACCAGGAACTCTCCATACACGACAGATGACAAATGATGAACTCATAAAATAAGCAAGCAGGAACAATGTAAGTTTGGAGAGCAATGTGGAGCAAACATTGGACATTTTTCCTCCCAAGAATAAATAGTATTAGCTTTACACTTGGAATTTGTCTGAGTCTCTGTGTAAATTAAAAGTTTAGTCTACTTGTCTAGATGTAGAAGCCACTCTAGTACAGCTGTTTTCAGAGTGCCAATAAGAGACTTAGAAAGTTCTAAGGGACTCAAGAAGAAAATGATTACTCACCAATAAGAAGGCAGAGCCCCCAAATTTTGTAAAATTGCTAATGTCTTCTAATATCATCCGGAACTTTGGGTCTTCAGGAGAAAAACAGTATCCCAAAGTCAAAAGGCAAATCGCATTACAGACTGAACTCATGATGAATGGTAAAGGGTCAATTGGCTGCCCTGTAAATGAAATTATAGATAATCATCTTAACAACGTTCCAGCTTGGAGGAGTAGAACCCTTCCCTGTGGAGCATCTCACAGCTCAACTCTCCCACCCTATATGCAACATCTAATCTGGGTGAGTTTGGGGTTTGGTATCACAGTATTGGCCAGATGAGATTGTTGAGATTTGTCCTAGTTTGGGGAGGCTGTGCAGGCTTGGATGGGGAGGAACTACTTCCAACTCACTGATATTAAGTCCACCTGGCTGTGGACATTAGGGTCACTTAGATCTAGAGATACACCACCTTTACCTTGGATGGGGTAGCACTTCCTTAGGCAAAAATAGGGTGTAAATGGGGGCTCTTCCCAGACACCCAGGACACTCAAGGAACAGGAAGCAGCTGTCTCCTGGAAGGTCTTTGCAAAGCTTCCACCGGTGTTCCGGTTACCCCTTTTCTTAGAACAGGAGGCCCTTCTGATAGACATCCATACTCTGGTCATCTCACAGCCTGATTAGTACAATGTGTTCTATGTGGGGTTGCCCTTGAATCCCATCCAGAAGTTTCAGTTGGTCCACAATTCAGCTGCACACTCAGTCCTGGACATGTCTCAGGATGCCCACAGACACTTCTGTTTGCCAACTGAACTATCCATTTGCTTCCAGGTATGATTCAGAATGCTGGATATAAGCTACATGGCCAAGGGATTGGTTAGATGAGAAACTGCCTATCTCCTGGGTTTGTCTGCCAGGCCAATTCTATCCAGCGTGGTTGAGATGCTCTGGGTTTTTCAGTTAAGCAGGACCATCTACCTGGACCCTTCTTTGCACCTGCTTTCTAGAATGAGGCTCCCCTTGAAATCCAGGTAGCCCCATTCTTTGGGTGCTCCAGAAGGCTTTAAAGATCTACCCTGCTAAGTTGGTTGGAATCCTTTACTGAATGACCAATATGTGTTTTGTGTTGACGTGAGCTGGATCCACATTTCATTTTTTTAGTTTGATTATATCTTTGCCATTTTATTTCCTTTTGTGAGCTACCCAAAGCTGATATGGCGACAAGTGATGCCTACATTGAATGAATGGATGAAAAGGATTGGATTGGAAAACACACGCATAAACAAAACAAAAACAAAAAACCCAAGTCGTGCAATTTCTTCCCAGTCTCCATATCCTCAAAGTACTCCTACCCTTTGTGCGTGCAAAGGTCTCCACCAGCCGATGGGTCACCTGTTTTATTTTACTCTCCGTGTCTTTCTTCCCCACTCCCAACGTGCGTAGAGCAGTGAGGGTGAAACGTCTCTGCTGCCTCCAGTTGTGACCGTTTGAAAATGAAACCCTTGAGGAATCAACGTGAGATCCATACTTTAAAAATAGCCCCATAAGCATGACTTATACTTTCCACGAATAATTGCAGTCTGTGAGGCAGAAGGATGGCAATCTGAAACTTCTTTGCAACCCTTTTGTTCTTCGTTTCCCTTGCACACTATTCACTCAAACGACTCATCTCCTCTTTCCCATACATAGCAAAGAGGGTCTAGGACAGCGGTAGGCAACCTTGGCTCTTTTATGACTCATGGACTTCAACTCCCAGAATACATGAGCCAACCATGCTGAGGGGAAAGGGAGAGGTTTCCAAGCTGAGCCAGGCTGGCCCAGGAATTCTGGGAGTTGAAGTCCATGAGTCATAAAAGAGCCAACGTTGCCTATCCCTGGTCTAGGACAGCTCACCATGGCCAACTCACCACAGGATAAGAGCTACCCTAATATCGAAGAAATGGTGGAATAGAATCCTTAAAGAAAGGATGCCAAAGGAGGGGCAAAATGAAAGGCGAATGACAAAAATTAAAATATTTTTAAAATTATTTTAAAGAATTAAATTGAGTTCTTGAATTGTCCCATGACAAATGGCTGCAGTGAGTTGTCCTATTCCGTACCCAAGGGTCCTTCCCATTATGGCCAAACAGAAGCACAAGGAAACAAGTAGATGTACAGTACATGATAACAACTTAGCCCCTATAGCTTCTGCAAATTATAATCTATAGTTTCAACGTGTTAAGAGTTTTTTTTTTTAATAGTACACGTAGTCCACAATTTATGATCGGTCACTTAGTGATCATTCAAAGTTGCAAACTACCTGAAAATGGGAACTTATGACCCGGATCCAAAGTTACTATGGTCAGACCCTCCCCTCATGCTCACATGACTCTGCTTTGGGCACTTGACTATAAAGGTGCATTTATGTCCATTTTCAGAGTCCTGTGGTCATGTGACTGCCTTTTATGATGATTTTGCTGAAAACTAGAACTTACTTCTGTTTTTTGGCAAAACTGCCACCGTGGTGTTTATATAATGACCACTGCACAAAACATTGTAAAATTGGATCGGTCATGTTTTTATAATCATTACAATTTACAACCCTAATGGACAGGCTCCATTATGATGTAACCCGAGGACATGTATAGAAAATAGGCAGTAGGATTGTATTTTTTTCTTCTACACAAAACAAACTCCTGCCCTATTCTACTATCTTCATATTACTACAACTTTAAATAAAAATAGAAATAGCTGTAATGTATAAATTCCTATATCTATGCTCTATTTAACAGAATAACAAAGTTGGAAGGGACCTTGGAGGTCATCTAGTCCAATCCCCTGCTCAGGCAGGAAACCCTAAAACATTTTAGACAAATGGTTGTCCAATCTTTTCTTAAAAACCTCCAGGGTTAGAGCACCCACAACTTCTGGAGGCAAGTTGTTCCACGGATTAATTGTTCTAACAGTCAGGAAATTTCTCTTTAAATTCTAAGTCGCTTCCTTCCTCGGTTAGTTTCCATCCATTGCTTCTTCTCCTGCCTTCTGGTGCTTTGGAGAACAGGTTGACCCCCTCTTCTTTGTGGCAGCCCCTTCATAGCAATAGCACTTAGACTTATATACTGCTTCACAGTGCTTTACAGCCCTCTCTGAGTAGTTTACAGAGTCAGCATACTTGCCCCCCAACAATCCTCAATTTACCAGCCTTGGAAGGATGGAAGGCTGAGTCAACCTTGAGCCAATGAGAATAGGAAGTCTAACCACTGCTCTACCAGGGCTCCTAGATATTGGAAAACTGTCACTTTGTTTTCATTAAACTAAACATACCCAATTTCTGCAACCATATTTCATATGTTGTAGTCCCCTAATCATCTTTGTTGCTCTTCTCTGCACTCTTTCTAGAGTCTCAACATCTTCTTTACATCGTGGTGACCAAAACTGGATGCAGCATTCCAAGTGTGGCCTTACCAAGGCCTTGTAAAGTGGTATTAATACTTCGCGTGGTCTTGATTCTCTCCCTCTGTTGATGCAGCCTAGCACTGTGTTGGCTTTTTCGGCAGCTGCAGCGCACGGCTGGCTCCTGTTTAAGGGATTGTCCACTAGGACTCCAAGAACCTGCTCACAATTACTACTATTGAGCCAGGTACCACCTATACTAGATGGTAGAACCTTACTTTTCTCACCATTGAATTTCATTTTGTTAGATAGGGCCCAATGTTCCTGCTAGAAGATACAAGATGGGTTTACCACCTATCACCTCATCCAAATCGTTGATGAAGATGTTGAAGAGCACTGGGCCCAGAACAGAGCCCTGGGGCACTCCACTACACACTTCCCCCCATTTAGATGCAGTTCCATTGAGGACCTCACGTTGAGTCTGGTTGGTCAGCCAGTTCATTCATCTGGTGGTGATGCTGTCTAACCCACATTTTTCTATCTTTTTTATTGAAATTTTTCAAAAGTTTTACAAATAAAAATCCACCCCCCCCTCCCCAACCACCCCACCCCCCCCCCCGACTTCCCAGAACTGAATATAGGATTATTTAACAAATATTTTAAAAATAACATTTGCAATTTATAAAATAATTAATAATAATAATAAAAATCACAGTAATAATATATATAGAAATAATATAAATAACATAAACTTTAAAATGAATAATATATACTAAAAAAGAAAAAAAAATAAAAAATAAAAAGAGAAGAGAGAGAGAGAAAGAAGAAAGAAGAAAGTAGACGAAAAATAAAGCATATATATATATAAAAAAAAAAAAAATATGAATAATAATACATTAAAAATGTATATATATAAAAAAGAAAAAGAAGAAAGAAAGAAAGAAAAAACAATCATTACAAATTATAAAAAGGCTAAATAATATTTTCCATATCCAAATTATGTTGTATAAAATTTATCCATTTTTCCCATACCGCAAAAAATTTTTCTTGAGATTGCTCCTTTAAGAAAGCCGAAATCTTTGCCATTTCTGCCAAATACGAAACTTTATGAAACCATTCTTGTAAAGTAGGCAAAGATTCCTTCTTCCAATATTGTCCTATTAACAACCTAGCGGCTGTAATCAAATTTAACATCAATATAACCTCCTTAGCATCACAGTCAATAACAATACCTAGTAAAAATAATTGCGGAGTAAATTTTACCCTCCTTTTAAAAATTCTTTGAATATTCCACCATATCTTAATCCAAAAAGCTTTTATATGCTTACACGTCCACCAAATATGGTAATAGGTAGCATCCAAATATCCACATCTCCAGCATTTCGGCTGTAGATTAGGGTACATAATGGACATTTTCTTTGGGTCAAGGTGCCATCTATAAAACATCTTATAAAAATTCTCTCTTAAATTTTGCGCTTGTGTGAATTTAACATTTCTTATCCAAATAAGTTCCCAAGTATCCATTGAAATCGTTTCACCAATATTCTGTGCCCATTTAATCATACAATCTTTAACTAGTTCAAGTTCTGAATCTAATTCCACTAAAACCCCATAAACTCTCTTAATATGGGTTGGCCTTTGATCTCTTACTTGTTTTAAAAAAATTCCATCTTCTCTAAGCCAGCCCATTTTACAATCCATCTTCCATCTATCCACTATTTGTCTATATTGGAACCATGAATAAGTTAAGTTTTCATGTGTTAATTCTTCCAAAGATTTTAACTGCCAGTCTTGGCCATCCCATCTTAATAACTGTACGTAAGAGACCTTGTCCATATTTACCCCTTTCCTTATACCTTCTATGGCATGCCGAGGTATAGCCCATAATGGTATTTTGAAGTCACTTTTATAATACTTTCTCCACACTCTTAGCAAAGAGTTTCTTATAATATGAGACTTAAAAACCCAATCCACTTTTTTATTAAATATTAAATAGGCATGCCATCCAAAAAATAGGTCCCAGCCTTCCAAATGAAGTATTTCTGTATTTGTTAAATTCACCCAATCGCTAATCAATGTCAATACTACAGCATCATAATACAATTTCATATTTGGTACCTTGAGTCCACCTCTCTCACGAAAATCTTGCATTATTTTAAGTTTCACCCTTGGTTTTTTCCCTGCCCAAACAAATTTATTAATACCTTTTTGCCATTCATCTAAATTACGTTCGTTCTTTAAGATAGGTAACATTTGGAACAAAAAAATAAACTTTGGCAGGACATTCATTTTAATAACTGCAATTCTGCCCATAAGGGATAACTGTAAATTATTCCAGTTTTTTAAATCCTTCTGTACCTCCATCCACAGCTTTTCATAATTATTTTTATACAATTTTACATTAGAAGCAGATAATGTAACCCCCAAATATTTTACCTTATCAACAATTTCAAAGTCTGTTAAGTTAACTAGAGCCTGTTTATCACCATTAGTCATGTTTTTAGCTAATATTTTGGTCTTATTATATTAATTTTAAAGCCAGAAACACGTCCATATTGTTGAATCAATTGTAATAATTTCACCACCGAAGAAACAGGTTGAGACAAAGTAACAACCAAGTCATCTGCAAAGGCTCTTAATTTATATTCTTTTTTATTAATTTCTATTCCTTTTATTTCTTGAGACTCCCGAATTTTAATCAACAAAATTTCCAGTGTTAAAACAAACAATAACGGAGACAACGGGCATCCCTGTCTTGTTCCTTTTTCTATTACAAAAGCCTCTGACAAACCCCCATTTACAATAATTTGAGCAGTCTGTTTTTGATATATATTGGATAATACTTGTAATATATTTTGTCCAAAATTCATCTCCTTGATTAAACACAGCATAAACTGCCAATTCACTTGATCAAAGGCTTTTTCAGCATCCAAAAATATCACCTGCAGAGACTTGGTTATTCTTTTCTAAATACTCTAATAAATTAATAATTTGTCTAACGTTATTCTTCATATACCTTCCAGTTATAAAACCCGATTGATCCCTATGTATAAACTGCTGCAAGATCCCCATAAGCCTGTTAGCTAAAATTTTTGCAAAAATTTTATAATCCACATTTAAAAGAGATAT